CCCGCATTCCATTGTTCGTGGGGCATTTTCCTCCATTCCCGGGCGGCATTTAAATTATTCCAATTGTCTAGCTCTTTGTTTACAGCACATTTTCGAATCGTTTAATTTATTTGCACGCGTTTTGGGATATATTTAGCTCCATTTATTCACTCGCATAAGCGGCATCTTTCGCATAGCGACCGTTTGTTTGTCTTGCGGTCGCCTCATCACGCATTTTCCACTGCATACTTATATGGGCACTGGAATTTCCGCCTAAACAAAACATTTGTGTTAAATTGTGCAAAAAAAACACAGCACAAAAAGTTATGGGAGCCTTAGTGGCTTAATTAATTGACAAAGCAAAAGGCGATTTAATTAAAGCAAAGACGAGGCAGCGCAGCGCAGACGCAGCAGCTGCTCCATGCGAAAAAAATGCGTCATGAGAGAGCGAGTTCGAAATTCGTAATTCGAAATTCGAAGAGCAGCTTGATCATCAACTGCAAGGTCTGTTAATGCAAGGTGAGGCATGGCTAAAGTGCACTCTTACGATATGCATTACATTGTGTTTCAAATATGGCAGTCATAAAATTAAAAAAATAGGTGCCTCGAAGATCGTATATGCCTTCCCTTCTTTTTATTCACCTTCCATTTAGCCAGCTGTTGTGTACTGGCTTCTCTGTTGCACACATTTGCTTAATCGTTTTCCATCTCTATCACTCTCTGGTTGTCGCCGCTCTCTCTTGTATCTGTATCTGGTCGTACGGGCTAACGGCGAAAATAATGTCTCAGATCGCTCACATTAACTGAATCTGTGTACGACGGGAATGACGCGGTGCGATTTTCGGTGCAGCGGGCGAGAAAAAGTGTGTGAAAAAATATTACATACATATGTATGAGTGTATGTACATAAGTTGTGTGAATGGAATGAAGCCATTACCTACTCGTAATTAAAGCCAAAGTGCAAAAGTGTACAGTGAAGACAACTCCAGCGACTGCATCTGATCGTGGAAAAGTAGAGTGACAAAAAAGGCACGTTTTCGCTTTCTTGCATTACCCACGCACACACACAAAAAACTTGGCCAGTACCACGACACACCACACACCTTTTGGCAGAACTCGCTTGGAATACCAAAAACAAAAAAACAACTTAAAGAAGAAACTGAAAAAACTTAAAAATAAAAATAAAGCATACAGAACACACACAAAAGTCGCGAACACATCCACCCATCGCCGGTTAGGTTCTGGCAGACCTATTACGGGTTTAACAACTCTTATGGTTAGTTTTATCATTTGCATTCCTAATGGAGTCGTACCCCCGAAACACCACCCCCACCAACCCGACGAGCAGTGTTCATTTTATTTTCAATCAGCCTTTGTCACAGAGAGAAGGGGCCTCGCCTCAGATAAGATTCGTTTTCATTGTTGTGCTGCACATACACCCATAATATATGAATATACGAATGCGAGTGTGTGAATACATACTCGTATTAGGATGGTGTGAACATATAAGGGTTTGGCTGTATGATTTATCAGTAATTTCTTTGAATTTCTGGCACACTTCGGGGAACTTCTACTAAAGCAACGACAGCAAAATCCTGTGACTGTGACTGACTCGGTTGTGAAATACATTCTTATGTACATATATTTCGTGTGTCTCTTGACATGGGTTGCCAAGACCTTTGTCGTCATATTTGATATCATATATTATTTGCTTGCCATGAGTTCACTCTGTTTATCGTCTCGAATACTCGAAACATTTCCCAAGAAACAGATATGCGTGTTATTTGCTTGGACTATCTGCGGGGGGAAATATACCATACGTATACGTGCCATGTACATACGTGATATTATGAAGTGTATGTGCAAACGCCTCCAATCGAAAAGTTGTTCTAGATTATAAATGATAGCGCCATTCGGGCTAAAAATGTCGAACCATCTCAACCACTTGTTCTTGAACAAAGAAATAACCCTATCCAAAACACTTTTTAGAGGTTCTCTGAACGGATTACATGATTCTTAGGAGGCCATAGGCAGCTTTCTCTAAGCTACCATAAAACAGAAACCCTTCATTGACTGCTACTCAATTTTCCCTCATGTCCAGTAGACCATCAAATATTTGCTCTTTGTGGTTTCTTTGCGGTGTCTCCACCGACGACTGGCTCCAGGCTCCAATTACCAGGGCACTGCTAATTAAGTGCCACCCCGAGAGTTGCATCCAACAAAAGGCGACAGCTTGGCAATCGCTTTACATTATACTCAAATAAGTATATAGAATATAATATTGTACATGCATATAGCCAGATCAAGTTCATGTGACCATCGACAGGGCGATTAGTCGCTTGAGGTATATATAGAGAAATTATCTTATGGATAAATAAATAAATATAAAAAGAGTGGTAACCTGAGCCGTCGTAAGCCATTGGAGATAATTTACTCGTGGGATTTTGTTTGTTTGTCTTATCCCGGCTCTGTCCTCTCTGTTGTTTTCCGCCGTCGCCGCCTCTGAATGCAAACTCAATGACAGGCTGGCTCAATGACTTGCTTGGCTTGGCAGCAGTCGACGAGGCTGAGAGCTGGAGCTGGAGCTGTAGCGGAATCTACGCCCATGAGATGATGACTCTAATAGTATAAACAGAGGCAAAAAGAGTGGCCAGGGCAGGGCAGCGACCATGTAAATGTGAATGTACCCACCATAATCATCATCATCGCCATAGCTATAGAGCAGCCATTTCAGCACCGGAAAATGTCCAAGTCAGTGTCCACTGAAGCGGAGAAATATGCCGGGCTCTGGTCGGTCGTTGTAGGAGTGTGGGGGGGGAATGTTGTTGTTGCACGCGGGTATTATGATTTTGACCAGATGTTTGCCAAAGCGGAAAGAAGAGAAGAAATAATTTATGGTCCTATAAAGTATATGAATGTTCATACATACATATGTATGTATATTTATTTGCATAATCTTTGCTTTGCCTTCTTTCTGGTTTTATGCAAAATATTCTCTAAACTTCTAATCTTTCTCACTGATACTTTGGTGCTCACTCGTGCCCTACAAAATCAGCTAAATTAGAGTCTAATGACTATTTTTCCCATAGAAAGTAACGAAGCATTTTCAAGGGTATCCCATGCTTCGATTCCAGAAGTTTGCCTCTTTCTTCCCTCTAGCATTTTGTGTGATTTCTTGGCGGTGGAGGCCGCAATTGTTGCTTACTCTTGCGTTTTGTTTGGGTTGCCGTTGCATTGCGTTTTCCCTGTTTAAACTTATTGTTGTTTTTGTATTGTAATTTTTGTTTTAGTTTCCTCTTTTTCTCTTCGTTCTCCTTCGCTTCGCAATGTTTTCTTTCGATTGCTTTGGAGTCTGCGCTACGCCGCGAAGTCGACAATTTGTGAATTGGCTGCCGTTTATTTATTTTAATTATTTTCTTTGGCAAATTGCTCATTTCCTACTTACTGAATGGTTGCCCTCGAGATCTCACCCCTCTCCCCATGGCTATTGTTTGGCAATCAGCGCTGATTTATGCCTGGTTTCGCTGCGTTTTGTCGCATTGTTGCTGTCACTCCAGCGGTGAATGTACATCTGCCCATCCATTTATCTGTCTCATGTTGTGACAGTGGTTACTGTACATAAGCATGTGTGTGCATATGATTGTCCCACTCTGTCTAGCTGTCACTTTTGGGTGCTTGTGTAACATGTAATTAATGTTTATTGTATACAAATAGATACCAGTCTACATATCTGCCATACAAATATTAAACCCTTAGGGTATCTAAAGCTTCGACCCTGAGCTTCGTTCGCTTTTATGCCTTGAGAAATTTTTGATCATTTGTGGACCCCCTCAGCAACAATTGGCTGTTGAGGCCGGGCTGCCCCAAACACATAAAGCCCTCAAGAATCTCAAGTGCAGTTTAAGTAGTTTTGAAGATTTTTGTATAGCTTTTGACCCACATTTACATTTTGTGATAAATATTTTGCTCTTATCATTGCATTTCTCATGTTTGTTGCGTCATAAGAAATGTTTGGTGAGTTGACCTGCGCAATTGGAAGTTCTTTCATAATCATGCCTCAGGGAAAGCTTCCAGTTAAATGTTGGATATTTCATTCAATCTATTATTGTATTTGCCCTGTCATCCATGTGTGTATGTATTTATTTCTCTAAATTGGTAGCCCGTGTGTCCCACGTAAATATCTCAAAGGCCATACAAATTGGTTTCTATTAATGAATGAAAATTGCTTTTGCCCCTTTTTGGATGAATGAATTGTTGTTTAGACTAAAAAAACCAGCCGGAAATGTTTTAAATTTTCTCTTTTATCTGTGTATGTCTGTATGTATAACGATCCACACACGAATGCTCGCATGAATGTGTTTTTGTTTTGTAAGCCCCCGTGTGAGTTATGACTTCTGCGAAAACCGAGGCTGTAGCTTAGGTTTGGAGAACAAACGAAAACGATGGGAATTCATTAATCTTTGGGAACGAAAAGCTATCGGTGGGAAATACAAATACAGAACACAGAACACAGAATAGAGATGGAAATGGAAGGAACACCCCTCCCCTGCGTCTCTGACAAGCGATTATCGTTCGTTGCAAGTGCAGTAAATGGAATGGCAACCGCCAAGGGGGGGAGGCCATCAGCATCATCATCAGCTTTTACAGAACTGGAACTCAAACAATTTAGGGGCAGGGGGCGAAACAGAGTTCAGACTTCAGTTGTCAAGGGGAGGAGCTGGCGGACTGTGGACTGCTTGTTGCATGCGTTGCACTGTACAAACAATTTTATGAGCTAACTTGAAAGTTCAAAAGTTTATCTCGTTTTTGTGTCTGACCATGATAATGACGGAGGTCTGTACGCAGAGGGAAGTTGAGTGGGCTACTCACTCCGTGTGTCTACAATTTGTAGCTTTTTTTTTAAATTGGCCATGAATTTGGTTTTTCTCTGTTCTTTTACTTCCACTTCCTATGCTTGTAACCACTTTATTATGTTCAAAATTTTCATGGGATTTTTTTTGTGTTCTTTTTTCACCACACAGAACCGTGCTCTGCCCGCCAATGCCTCGCCCTTTCGCCGAGCCTGGGGTCAGTCTTCATTCCGTACACCGCGCACCGACAAGGTGGCCAAGCAGCTGCAGCCCCAGCAGCAGCAGCAGTCGTCGTCATCGCCGCTGGTGAGACGCACTGCCTCGATGAACGCCTCCGACCATGATGTGTACATCAAGACGCTGATGCTGGATGACCTGAAGACGTCGACACGCAGCCAGCAACAGCTGAGTCTGCTGAAGGTTCCCAAAATCCTGACCACGCCGGCGCCACCATCCACCATATCGGTCAGCGCAGAGTCAACCGCAACAGACCTACCAGACAATGGCAGCCCCAGCAGCTGGGGCGGTTCGTTCGAGCGAATGCTGCAGGATGCCGCCGGAATGCAGACCTTTTCCGAGTTCCTCAAGAAGGAGTTTTCGGCTGAGAACATTTACTTTTGGACCGCCTGCGAGCGCTATCGCCTGATCGAATCGGAGGCGGAGAGGGCCATCCAGGCGAGGGATATCTTTGGAAAGCATCTGGCGAACAGCGGCTGCGATCCCGTCAACGTGGACTCCCAGGCCCGCAATCTTACGGAGGAGAAGCTCGCGAGTGCCGCTCCCGATATCTTTGCGCCCGCCCAGAAGCAGATCTTCAATCTGATGAAATTCGACAGCTATCAGCGCTTCATACGCTCCGATCTCTACAAGAGCTGTGTGGAGGCCGAGCAGAAGAACCTGCCCCTGCCATACAGCGGTGCCGATCTGGATGAGCTGCTGAAGACAAATTTTCACTTAGCTGCCTCGTCAAAGGTGAGTGTGTTGCACCAACGAATGATTGCTAGAATATTCACTAAATGTGGGATTCATTTTCCCCCTTTTGGCAGCTCAAGAAGTCGGTAAGCAATGCCGAGGATCGACGCCGTAAGAGTCTACTCCCATGGCATCGCAAGACGCGAAGCAAGTCACGCGATCGCACTGAGATCATGTCCGATCTGCAGAGCAGCGCTTTGATGCCAGCACCGCCGTTGCCGCCACCGACTCTGCTGACCAGCGCCTCGCTGAAGATCGCCTCGGGCCAGAATTCGCTGAGTGATCTGCACAGTTCTCGCTCCTCTCTGTCGTCGTTTGACGCCGGTGTATCGGGCGGCCAGGGAGCCAGTGCGGAGAGCGTGTGCTCTCTGTGTCGAGTGATCCTAACGGATGGAGCCACCACCATAGTGCAGACGCGACCCGGAGAGACGGTGGGCCAGCTGGTGGAGCGGCTGCTGGAGAAGCGCAACCTCGTGTATCCCTACTACGACATTGTGTTCCAGGGCAGCACCAAGTCCATCGATCTGCAGCAGTCGTCGCAACTGCTGGCCGGCAAGGAGGTGGTGATCGAGCGACGAGTGGCCTTCAAGCTGGACCTGCCCGACCCAAAGGTTATATCCGTTAAGAGCAAACCCAAGAAGCAGCTGCACGAGGTGATCAGGCCCATACTGACCAAATACAACTACAAAATGGACAACGTGCAGGTGATAATGCGCGACACCCAGGCCCCGCTCGACCTCATGCAGCCGGTGACGATGGCCGATGGCCAGCGGCTGCGCATCGTACTGCTCCAGGATTTTCAGTCAGGCGGCGGCAGTAGCATGCCGCCGAAGCAGACAAAACCAATGAAGCCGTTGCCATCCACGGCACAGGGACAGCTGGACGAGCTGACAAACAAGGTGTTCAACGAGCTGCTGCAGAGCAAGGCGGAGGCGGCTGCGGCAAAGCCACAGCCACAGCCACAGCCCAGCGATCTGTGCTCCATGAAGTCCAACGAGGCGCCCTCGGAGTGCTCCTCCTCCCTGTTCGAGCGGATGCGTCGGCAGCAGCAGCAGCGCGACAACATTCCTGTCAGCAAATTGCCCAAACTGAAGAAGAAGTCCACAAGCAGTCAACATTCCGAGGAGCCAACCACCAATCCCTCTTCCTCCTCCTGTCTGGTGGCGGCGACAACGGCGGCCGCAGATCCCAAGAAGCCCATCATTGCAAAGCTGAAGGCGGGCGTGAAGCTGCAGGTGACCGAGCGAGTAGCTGAGCACCAAGGTGGGTAGCCGTAGCCCCCTGCAGTGCCCCTTGAACAAGAACCAGTAAACTAAACACGATTCCACTCTAATTTCACAGATGAACTACTCGAGGGCCTGAAGCGGGCACAGCTGGCGCGGCTGGAGGATCAGCGGGGCACTGAGATTAACTTTGATCTGCCCGATTTCCTCAAGAACAAGGAGAATCTCAATGCGGCCGTCTCTAAGCTGCGCAAGGTGCGGGCCAACCTGAGTCCCGTCACCAGCAAGGTGCCGCCCAGCCCCACAGAGATCCCTCAGCCGGCGCCACGCCTCTCCATCACACGAAGCCAGCAGGTGGCGGGCAGCCAGCAGCAGCAAGTGTCGCCCATGAAGGTGGACCAGGAACAAGAGACTGAAATGCCTGCAGAGACGCAGGATCAAATTGAATTTGCCAAAGCGCCGCCACCGTTGCCGCCAAAGCCAAAGGTGCTGCCCATCAAGCCATCCAACTGGGGTGTGGCCGTGCCGCAGCCAGCCGGAAACTACTGCAACAAATTCTCCCCAACCAAACAGGCTCCAACATCGCCCACGGCAAAGAGTGTTGCGTCCGCAGCTGGCTTTGTCAGCAAAATTCCACTGGACATTGGACGCAAGACGCTGGAGGAGGTGGTGGCGGGCACGCGGTGCGCCTACCTTGACGAGCCCAGCAGCAGTTTTGTGTGATACTTCCTGGATTCCCAATGAATGGAATTGGCATTGTTTTGAACTGGTTCTGAAATTATTTTGTAAATACATTTATATATCTGCACTATTTATTGATACCCATACTCTCTCGCTGTTGAATGAATGTCCACCAACCATATCAACTATGACCATGAGCCTTCTATGTAATCTACAAATAATTAGCAACCATAAGCCTTTAGCTTTAAATCTTTTGTATAAATATACAACATACATATATGCATATAAAATATTGCAAATGGTTCGTTTCACATGGTTAGATGGAACTCTAGGGAACTAATAGAAGTATTTTGGATGCCATAACGTGGCAAGTGTTTTGCTGAAACAGATTTTCCATTAAATTAGCTAGCCAAAGTTCACTTTTTGGGTGACTGTATATAAATGCATGTTGACCATTTGGGTTTTCAATCAGTTAACAAAATAAACCCTTTTGCGATGGTAAAGCTGGTGCTAAATCTTGTGATTCTGAGCCTGCTGCTTAGCTTGGCATTGGCACTCAATCGGAAGTTGATGGAAACTCGAAAGAGTAAGTGATAAATTCTTTGTACTCTTAACTATTTAACTAGGTTAATTTTCTGCAGAAATTTGCTTGGAACCTAGTTCATATGGCACTTGCAAAGCAAGGCAATTGCGATTCTATTACGATGCATCGTCCAACTCTTGCAACGCGTTCTACTACAGTGGCTGCGGTGGCACACAAAATCGATTCGCAAGCCAAACACAATGCTGGGACTACTGCATGGACCCGGAGATCATTTACGAAATTTAGTAGGAGTTCTATATGTTGAAAAGGGTAGATGTAAATCTATTTTGCTTTTAAATCTTAAGCTATAATAAAGGCAATCCAGATGCTAGCAAGCTTATTCTCAATATTTGTGGAATGGAATTGTTGGAATTTTCCAACGTGTGTATTTCTATTTTAATGAACTTCCGAGGCAAGTTGTTGCTACTAAAATTAAATATGAAACAGCTTTCTCATTAACTGTAAAATGTTACCTTTTTGGGCAACCTTGTATAAAAGTCGGTTGACCGTTTTGTGGGCCATTCAGTGGACAAAATAAACTCTTTAGCGATGGTAAAGCTTCTACTGAATATTTTATTTCTAAGCCTGCTGCTTTATCTGTCAGCAGCCGACAATCCTCCGAACTTGGCCAACCGCTTGAGTAACTGAAATCTAAATAAACCCTTGATGATGTGACTATGAGAACTCTTTACAGCAATTTGCACGCAGCCAAGTGAGTACGGCAACTGCAACAAGAGACAACTCCGATGGTATTTCCACGCAGAATACAACAAGTGCAAGTCCTTCTACTACAGCGGATGCGGTGGGAACTCGAATATATTCTATTCGCACTTTGAATGCAGTGCCTACTGCATAAGACCGGACTACGAAAAAATATAGTAGGGAAGCCATAAATTGTCACTTGAGAACATTAATAATTATAACTTTACGATAAACATTGATAATAACAATTATTAAATAAATCCGAAATATTGCTCAGAAATACATGCCCAAAATCCAGAGAAGTGTTGGTTTGTGTTTTGCGATTAAAAAATAAAACAGAAACAGATTTTCATCTAGATGTTATAGGGCAACCCGAGTATAAAAGGCTGTTCCCCATTTGTCTGATTAATCAGTTGACCAAATAAACCCTTAAGTGATGGTTAAGCTAATGATGAGTTTTGTGTTTCTGGGGCTGCTGCTGTGCCTTGCAGCAGGCAACTCTCCGCCAGAATTTTGGGACCGAAACCGTACGTGAAAATGAAATATATATTTGATAATCCAACTATGAAAGTTCTCTACAGATATTTGCACGAAAGACATAGATTATGGCCACTGCCGTGAAAATCAGATACGTTGGCATTACGATGCAACGTCCAAGTCCTGCAAGCCTTTCTACTACAGCGGATGTGGTGGAAATTATAATCGATTCTTGCGTAAAAGCGGATGCATGGACTACTGCATGGATCCGGATTACCCCTTTATGGAACAGTAGAAATTTGAGCTTTGTATTATTTAGCTATAACAAATGCAGCCAAGTGGTATCAAGTAAACAATTTACATGGATATATGAAAAACGACAGAGTTATGTTATGTACTTAATATATATATATATTTGTGAAATACATACTATATGAAAACAAGTGTTTACCATTAAAGAGGAAACCAAAACAGATTTTCCATTATATAAACAAAGTCTCAGTTTCGGCGACCGTCTATAAAAGCGTGATGACTGTTTGTCGAGCAATCAGTTGGCACTCTAAGACCTCAAACGATGGTAAAGCTAATGTTGAATATTGTAATTCTAAGCCTGCTGCTGTATCTTGCATCAGGCTTAAGCCCAGACCAGGCTAACGAACGGATGAGTAAGTGATAATTAAATAAAGGCTACTGTAAGGTTATCCTAAGTTCTTTCCTTATAGAGAATTGCATAAAGCATAGTGCGTATGGCTACTGTCGTGGGCAACAGACACGTTGGTTTTACGACACGATGACCAACAATTGCCAGACGTTCCTGTACAGCGGCTGTGGTGGAAATATTAATCGATTCACAAGTCTACCCGAATGCCTTGACTACTGCACGCATCCGGAAATATCCTATGATCGAAAATGAACTATTAATGGTTAACAGCTATTGAATAAACAGCTATTGAATTGAAAGCAGATTAGATTTGAAATTGTAAAGCAGCTTAAAGCTAATTATTCTTGATCCTCAAGTCTATGCCTGTGTATATATAAACCTTTACAATTATTTTTCTTACGGATATTTAAGCAGAAGTGGGAGGAGCTAGCATGTTGTCAAAAGTACGTACGCCCCAGCCACCTGGTAATTAACTTATTTAATTTAAATATAAACCAAAACAGATTTCCCATTAGATATTTCACCCTTTTGTGGCTACTCGTATATAAATGCCTCTCGACCATTTGTCGCACAATCAGTTCACCAAACGAACCCTAAGGCGATGGTCAAGCTGACGCTAAACTTTGGGATTCTAAGCCTGCTGCTTTGTCTGACAGCAGCACTCAGTCCTCGTTTAATTGTCTACAGGATGAGTAAGTGAAAGTTAAACGAACATTTAAGTCGGACTTAGAAAATTCTTTACAGAGATTTGCATGCAGCTTCGTTCGTATGGCAATTGTCACAATAGGCAGGAGCGTTGGTATCACGATCCATGGTCGAAAACCTGCAAGGTGTTCTACTACAGTGGATGTGGTGGAAATTATAATCGATTCATTTCCAAAGACACATGCATGGAGTACTGCAGGGATCCGGGCATACCTTACGACGATAAGTAATGATAGAAAACGAACAAAATAATGCAAAATGTTTTCCTACTGGTATAACAACAAAAATGAAAACAAAAGTAAAATAATTTTTAAAAATTTAGGGATTTCTTTAGGCTAGTCTCAGCTCAACATCATTGTACAACATTAACATGCGGTCGTCTGAGCCGCCAGGCGGCCCAGAAAAAATACAATCAAATGGCCAGTGTAGGCTTCGAGCTGCGCTCAGGTGCGCTGGCCAGCTGCAGTTGCTCCTTTGGCTGCTCGCTGCTTGCCTCCAGCTGTTTGGCCTCATCGCCAGCACTGAGCTCTTTCGGCGGCTCCTCCTCGACATCCTCAATAAAGCGATAGGTAATGGGCGAGGGCTGCTTGGCTGGCAGCCAGTCGGGAATAATCTTGTCGTGCAGCCTCCACTTGCCGTACTCGTTGGAAATGTGCTTCTCAAACACCACGTACTCCAGCACATCTTTGGTAAGGATCTCGCTGCCGTGCATCAGGCGACCAAAGCGATCGTAGATGGCCAGCATCTGTTGTGTGTGGAAGCGCACCGTGACCTGGGCAAACTGGTTCTCCTTGGTGATCACCTCAGTACAACGAGCATGCACCACTCGAGGAGGCTCCAGAGACTGCAGGAACCGCCAGTGAATGGTCTTGTCCTTTACGTTGTGCATCATTTCGGGATAGCAACGCTCACTGACAAATTCACGTATCTTGTACTTATCCTTGGCTGCCATCTGAGTGTGGGCCGCCACATAGATCTCCTGGGCCTCGGCTCCGAACTGGTCGCTGCTGAAGGCTTCGTCGTACGAGCGTATTTTCCGTACGGCCAACATACTCTTTGATTTCTTTTCCAAGAACTCTAGTTTCTGCTTGGCTCCGGTGGAGGAGATTATTGACTTCTTGCCATCACCCTCTGGTGGGACATATGGCTCGAATATGCCGCCAGTACAACTGATGTGAAACGGACGCTCCATCCAGGGGCGGGGCGGCAGCACACCACGTTCTTTCATACGGCTGCGCATCTCCTCCTTGCTGATGTCTTCTGGCTTTTCGCGGAAATTCGGCAGCTCGATTTTCACAAACTTCTGCTTGCGCAACCGCTTGAACTCCGGTTTCCAGTGCTTGGTCTGTCGATGGCGCACCTGCTGCATCTGGAGCATGTTCTGAAGCGCCGGTGCCAATATCCCCAGGCCTGAGCTCGCCGCCTGGGGCACGCTGGGCATCATCTGTTTGTGAATTAAAAACTCAGTTAGGGAGCAAATGTGACAATGCACATTATATGCCTAGTTACCTGCACGAATTTAAGGCACGTTTTGGCCGACACAAGCTTCTCCATTGTAAATAAATTGTAATTTATTTATTTATTATGTAAAAACACGACCCACTAAAATATACCGAAATATATACCAAATATACCGAGGAAAATACGAAGTTAACCCAATCAAGCACCATTTATAAAAACACCTCTATTATCGATACCGTTTCGACCGGTGTTAATTTAAAACAAATTGTTGCACATTTTCAATTAAATTGTTCATTTAATGTAATTTTAATATTAGCTTTCACAACTGATTTTTGTAATGGGGACTTCATTCGCATTCCGATATAAAACTCAAATAAATAAATAAAATAACATCATTGAACATCATTTTTAGTTATGAAAAATATTTCTGCTTCTGAAATTAACATTTTTGTATTACAGAATAAAATAATCAAATAGTGTGAGAGACTTACCTTTGCCTTCGTGAAACGAGAAGCATGTTGCTCCCTAGCAAGAATATTTTTATGAATGAGAATTTTTCTATTAGTTGGATAACTTTGCAGTTACGTACCTTGGAGAATAGGCACCGCCATCACTGATGCGTCCCATGGGAAGGTCAAAGTCCTTTGGCATATTCTTCAAGTTCTTCAGACACACCTTGGCATTCTCAATGTCCGTCTCCAGACGTATCACTGCAAGTTAAAGACATTGAAAATTCGATCGGAACTGATATTATCGCATGAACTGGACTTACCCTTCTTCAGGAGGTGTCCCTCTTTGGGATCGCAGTAACACTTTGGCTGTTGTCTGCCGTGGATGGTGGGCTTTTGCTCGGGGCACTCGTATGTAGCCCCATCGTGTAGCATGTGGTTGAACAGGCAGCCGGGCAGAATGTACTCGGCCGCAGCATAGATACGCTTGTGGATGTAGGCCAGCTCGTTGAAGCTCAGTGTGGTCAGTCCACGGTGGTACAGCTTGTGGCAGATGGCGTAGAAGCGACTGTTGGGTATGTTGCACTTGCAAAAGCAAAAGCCACACTCTTCGACGAACAGGTCGAGGATTTTGCGCAGCTCCTTCTCCAACCCACAGCCATCGATCTCGCCAGCCGCTAGGCTTCGAACAGTGTTCCGCACAAAATCATCGAATTGTTCCTCTGCTCCCTCCAGCTCTGACCCATGAGCTCCCGGTTTTTTCTGGTCCTTGGCGACTCGTGCCTTACTGCCACCCCCTTTGCCTGCTTTCGATGCTCCAGACGTTGCCGCCTTTCCATCTTCTTCTGCCCCCGAAACATTGCCGCTTTTTGCTGGTAGTTTGCGGTCAGTTTTGTCTTCGAGTTTTCCTTTACCTTTTCCATCAGTCGCTTGTTTTAATTGTTTTGCGGGTTCTTCAGGCGTCTTCTCATCGTCTTCTCCGGCTTTTCCTTTATCTGTTCCACCGGTTCCTCCTTTCTCGTCCTCTTTTTCGGGCGATCCTTTCCCTTTTTCACCAGCTCCAGCGGTTTCTCCGACTTTTTCAAGCTCTTTCTCTTTGCTTTTTTCTCCTGGTCTTGCTAGATCTTGACCCTTACCCTTCTCAGTGTCTTCCCCAGGTCTAGCTAGATCTTGACCCTTACCCTTCTTAGAGTCTTCTCCGGGCTTTCCATCCAAATTAGCTTCATTCACCATTCGGCGTATCTCCCCCTGTGGTCCCTCTCCTCTTTCAACTTCTCTCTCGATGGCATCCGGATCCACACCGAGTTTTCTGAGTGCATTACCCAAAGCTTTATTTTTATCCTCGAGCAGTTGAGTCTTTTTCTTGCAGTCCTCCAGCTGCTTGCTCAAATCATCAAAGAGCGTCTGGGCCTCACTGTCTCTGAGTTCGCTCACTTTATTCTTGAGTTTTTCGTTTTCCACTGCCACATCTCCGATGTCCTTGATGAGGCTAATGCTCTCGGCGAAGCCCTGCTCCATGACCCGGGTATCATCGTCCAATTTTCGGACTTGCTGGTCCAGTTCCTCTAGTTTCTTTTTGCTGTCTTCGGCAGCTACACAGAGGCAATCGTTCTCATCGTACAAATCCTCCAATTCGCCGTCCTTCTCCCTCAGCAAGTTCCTCAGGCGGTTCAACTCCCGGTTGCAGTCCTCCAAGTTATTTATGTGAGAGCCACCAGGATAATTGTTTTGATTCATTTGCTGGAAGCACTCCCCTTGCTTCGACAGCTCGCTCATGATGTGGTCCAGAGTGGCGCCCGTATAGACGGCCAGATTAGCGTCCACATCGCCAACGCCCAATGCACACTGTGAAGTCTTATCTGTGAAGGGTCCACAATCGGCACGCTGGTTACCGTACATCTGGTTCAGCTCGGCTACAACGTTCTGCAGGTTGGGGGGTTGGGAATGCAATAAAAACGAAGAACACAATGCAACGGAGAGGAAAATCATTGGAAGCAGCTATCGATCGTTGGATGTGCTTTTGAGATATGGGGAGAATGGAAACGGTAAATGCAGCCAGAGACCTTCCTCTCACGTTGCGCTCGGTCTTTTGGATGGCCTTTAGCCGGAATACACATTTAATTTGATGAAACTACACATGATTTCAATTGCAGTTGGCTAGGAATTTTGGGTGTTTTGTATTCATGGACTGGCCTATTGATGACGGCGCTGCTAACATGGACAATCTCCATCATCCCCATTCTCATCCGCACCACTACCATTGCCGTCTTCGGGCAGTTTGTCAGGATAGCGATAGCCACCCTGCTTAAAGAGCTTGGCCTTGGCCTAGAGAACGAGCAACGATCAGATCCCGTTAGCTTGGCTTCCACTGACGCCCCCGTACTTACCATCAGTTGTTCGTACTGAATACCGTAAGCGCTCAGGGCAGCGTCCCGTTTGCGCAACTCGTTGCGCAGCACATCGATCTCCATGGTCTGGCATTTGGCCTTCTGAGCGGTGGTCTGGACAACCTCCAGCTGTTTCTTCATCTCATTGCAGCGGCACTAAAAAGGCAAAAGGGGGGGAATAGTTCTCTAGATATTGATCTAGGCTTTCAGCACTCACCAGAAGTAACTCCTCGTTTCCTTTCACCTTGTCCACCTCGCCCTCGTAGAAGTTTTGCATTTCTTCTATCTCCTGATGCATGTCGCTGATATATTGGTCACGATGGTCAAGATTCGCCTCCAAATCGCCATTAACATACTCTGCCGTCTCAGCCTGGTTCTTCAGATTGCCAACACGCTCGTTGAGCATCGTTAGGGCCTTGCACTTCCTGCGCAGGGCATCGCGCTCCGCCAGAATTTTCTGTATGTTGCCCACGTCCTTTTCGGGCGAGAATGAGTATTTGCCGCCAGACTGTTTGCCTGCAGCCTTCATGCACTCGTCCTCGGCTTGGCGCAGCAGCACCAGTTCCTTGCCAAGAGTTTCAATCTTCCTCTGCAGGTAGGGTATGTCGCTGCTCTTCTCGGGCTCGATCTTGATGCTCTCCAGGTTGCAGCGCTTCGACTGCTTCTCTATCAGACGCTTCAGATTGGCATTCTCCGCCTCGAGGATATCGTGGGCCTTGTTCATGTCGTCAATGGCCATCATCATTTCATTCAGCTCCCGCTCATCTTTGGAATCGATTTTCTTGGCATCGGACAGCTCTTTCACCTTCTTCTTCAGTGCCCTGCTTCTATCTGGATCGTAGCGTTGTGCCATAATACGCTTGATCTCGGCGGACTCCTGCTGCGCCGTCTTCAGTTGATCCTTAGAGTCGGCCAGCTTTTCCTTTAGTATATTGTTCTTAATCATCAGACTCTCCATACGTCCAATTGTATCATCGGCAGCATTGATTAGGCTGTCACCCAACACCAGATTGCTCCCATATTCATCCGCCAGGCCTGTTTGACGTGTCCGAGCGCTTGGGCCGCCCAAGGCTCCGCTACCGCTGCTGGCTGGCGCTGCCCTTAATTGTATGTCATTGCTGGTTGCAGGAGCGCCTTCGTTGCTGCCGCGTCTGCTAGCGTTGCTCGAGGGTCCGCCAGTAGTGAGCCCGGATTGTGGCCCAGCGTTGCTTGAGTTGCTCGAGGGACCGCCAGCGTTGCTCCCTTGTGGCCCAGCGTTGCTGGTATTTCCCGAAAGACCACCAGCATTGCCTCCTTGTGGCCCAGCGTTGTTTCCGCGTCCACGTCCGCGTCCGTCTGATGGCTTCTGGCCCGCTGTATCGTTGCCTCGACCAGCATCAGCAGCACCGCCAGCACCACCAGCCGCTGCATGGCAGGCAACCAGATCTGCCACAAACCGCGACTTTTTGTTTTCACTTGCCGACCAGGAGCGATCATCGATGGTTGATGGATAGCTCTTTAGCTTGACACACGCCTCGGGGCAGTCACGACCCGGGGCGGGTGCGTTCTTGAACGGCACATGGAAGAATTCCTTTTGCGTGGAGAATGCCATGACGTTTTGCTTGGTTCGCGGTCGCGGTTACCACTAGAATGCTTATTATTTGCCGCGCGAATTGTTAGTTGTATAGTAAAAAGTTTTAGTTTTATTTCCTGAAATAATTTACGAATGTATGTCCGACATTGAAGAAAACCCCAATTTTTCTGTTGTTCTAACGATACAATTTCTACACTACAACAACAAAGTCTATGACAGGCCAATCCAAAATCAGTGGCAGAAACACTGCCTACTCTGATCGATATCAAAATATAAGTAGATATCATTGACAGGGGATTGTTGAGTGGGGAGAGTGTTAGCAAATCATTCCAGTCCCTGGGCACGTCGCTCGGCCAGGGATTCGTCTATTGCATTCATGCCGCTAAAGCCACTTGGCTGCATCGTCATGCTGGCTGTTCCCGAGCTGATTGTTCGCAGGGCGCTGGAATAACCGGAAAGCTCGGCCAGCGGCGCATTCACGAGTATCATCTGGATAAGTCAATAAGGATCAAAATAGTTTTGAATTAGTCTGAAAAGTGATTGCAACTTACTTTATTCCTATCGCCTTTGGGCAGCACATCGTTGATGAGGGCTCGACGTCTGGAGAGGTCTGCCATTATGCCGGAAATACGTTCACTGGGTGCCACAATCTGCAGTGCCATGATGGGCTCCAACAGACGGGTACCACTTGTGCTCAGCAGCTGTGCAAAATATTCCATTTATTGTCAGTTTCAAGAGTACAGAAATCCACACTTACCTTTTGGACGCACTGAGCTGCGGTGGCCATCACAAAAGAGTCGGCTGTGCCACGACCAATGGTTGCATTGTGCAAACGTATCTGCGTTTCCACGACTTGCCCGCCCACTCGGGGTCCACGTTCCAAAGCGCTGACAGAGCCTTTCCTCAGCACCTGGAGAATGCGAGGACGCAGCGTGTTGAGGTTTGACAAGTTCTCCGGTGACTTATCTAAACTTTGGGTACACAAATAAAAGTAAGATCAGCTCTCCACTCGCTCGGACTTGCAATGGGACAAACCTGAAGAGCTCGCTTTGTTCTTTGACCACCTCCAAGGTGAGGCTAACGTTCTGCCTGCTGCCAGCAATCTCCTTTTCCACACTCAGTGTAGTGATCGATGGCGATTCGATGGTTTCCTTGTAGGCTATTTGCAGGGGACCCAGATCCACGTCGATTTTGTACTCGCTGAGAATGCGCGACTTGATGATGTCCATGTGCAGTTCACCCATGCCGCCCAGCACTGTCTGACCGGTGACACCATCGTAGCTGACACGCAAACTCGGATCTTCGCGCTGCAGCTGCCTCAGTGCTTGCTCCATGGCCGTTTGCGAAGACACATTGGGTGGCTCAATGGAGCAGAAGTACACGGCATTTGGTATTTGTCGGTCAATGCCAAACAGCTCGTCAGTGTCGAGTTCTTCCTCCTCATCTGTTGTCGCTGTGCCTTTGCTTTGCTTCAAACGTTTCTGGGCATTCCTCAGGGCTGACTGGCTAGATGTCAGCAGATCTCCCGTAACTGTTGACTAGACAGGAAAATGTTAGCTGTAGGTAACTCAGGTCCATGTGCAACTTACCTTAAGACCCGCACATATGACCACATCGCCAGACTGCACGGCAGCTACTTCACGGTATTCGTCAGCCAAGGGCTCATACAATTTGGACACAACCTCCGCTTGGCCCCGCGAGCAGATAAGACGCATGCCACGCTTTATCTCGCCGCGTAAAATGCGCACCAGTGTCAGAGGGCCACGCTGCTTGTCGTGGACAATCTTGAAGACTTTGCCAGCGACTTCATTTCTGCAAAAGTTTAGAAAATTTCATAAAAATATTTTAATCCATTTTCTACAGCTGAATTCTTACCCGAAACAGTCGTAGATTTGGTTGCGCTCCTCTGGCGCTGGCAGATAGGTATTCACGGCATCCATGAGTCGCTGTATGCCAACATTTTTGTAGGCAGAACCGAGCAGCACAGGCACAACTTTCTGCTGGCAGGTTGCCCGCCGCAGGGCTCGTTCAATGAGCTCATTGCTGACTTTGTCAAAGCTTTCGGTGCTGATTACTACATCGGCCAGCTCGTCATCCAGTCCCGAAAGCTGATCGATCAGTTCATTGCGCTTTTCCTGCATCTCCCGCTGTTCTGCAGACGGCTCCAGCTTCGTCTTGCTGTAGCTGCGACCCAAATCCTTTGGCTGCCATGTGAGCTGCTCCAATGTGATTACATCATTAATGGCTGCCGGGAAAGAAGGTTTGAATGGAGTCCAGCACTCGCAGGAAACTCATAGTCATACCCAAGAGTCCATTTTCGTTTCTTGTGGGATATTGTATGCACACAGGCTGCGTTTCCAGCTTCGTTTTCAGGTCATTGACACACTTATTAAAGTCTGCATCCGGACGATCCATCTTATTGACGAATGCCAGCCGCGGCAGCTTGTGCTTGTCCGCCTGTGTCCATACGGTGACGGTTTGTGCCTCAACTCCAGCCGTGCCGTCCAGCACCACGACAACCCCGTCCACGGCATACAATGATTGCTCCACCTCCATTGTGAAATCAATGTGTCCGGGCGTGTCCAGCAAGTTAATGCTAAACAAAAAAGATTTCATTATAACAGCTTGGGGGGAACATTGAATGAACGCACCGATTACCATTCCAGGGAAATGTCACAGCCGAGCTGCAAATCGTAATTCCGCGCTCCCTCTCCTGTGTTAGATAATCCGTCACCGTGTTGCCGCGATGCACTTCCCCCAGAGACCGGGTCTTGCCTGAGTAGAACAGCATACGCTCGGTGGTTGTGGTCTTGCCTAGGGGAACAGCATTCACTGCATAAATTTGAGTGCAACATGGAATTTCAACCATAACAATCACCTGCATCAATGTGCGCCAATATACCAATGTTCCTGATGTTACTGCTGTAGCAGCGCCTGAGCATATGTACGGACAGCTGGCGGAGCAGCCTGTTGCGTTGCATTCTTCCACCGTACAATGCATATTTCAGCATTTTCATTGATAAATTAAACTAAAATTAGTAACTAAAAGCCGCCACAAACTTCCAATGCAACAGATGTTTTATTGTTATCGAAAACCAGCTGTTTTCCAATCGAGTATGTTGATTCTTCAGATAAGAGGCTGGCCACTCTAATTTATTTCTCGCACCTTTCTTACTGTAGCTATTTATTTTGTTTTGCTTTGTAAAAATATGTCAACTCGCCCGCGTCGCCAAGCTGCGACAAAGACAAAGATTATAGTTGAGTTATCTGACTCTGATGAAGATGTGACTTCGGAATTTAAGGACACCGATGAGTACAGGCCCCAACAGACTCGGGCCTTAGATAGTGCTGCCGCTTCCACTGCAGGCGTGTAAGTAACAATGTGATCAATAATTCGCGACATCTAATTTATCACCAACCTCACCAACCTCACACAGCGCCAAGCGAAAGCAGTGGCCTACAGCCAAGGATGCTAAAGCTGAAGCACCAGCGGCGAAGAAAAAGCGCGGCAAAAACGATGCAAACGTGGAAAATGCTTGCCCCAATCAAAGCAACCCTGAGGCGGAAACGATTGATCCACCCCGATCCTTGATGCAAACAGACGGCGCTGCTGCCAGCACAACCACAGGGCGAAGTTCCTTCTGGGAGCGTCGCAAGGTGTGGAATATACATGAGCTGCTGGCCGAAACGGAGAACATCCAGCCAACTGCTGCAGCTAATATTGTGCAGCTCTTTGAGAATGAAAACACCATTCCATTTATATGTCGGTACGCTCAGGGTTATATTCTATATGTGTATGCACTCTGCTTATAAAAACTTTATGTTTGTGTAGCTACCGGCGAGATCTGGTTGACCATTTGCCACCAGATCGATTGCGTGACATTCGAAACACTTACACAGAGATTGTGGATCTGCGGAAGAAGGCCGAACACATAGTCACGCAGCTGGAGCGCGAAAATGTGCTAAATGAAGAGATTAGGGATGAGCTGATGTGCGCGAAAAACAACGAAGAACTAGAGTTTCTCTATGCTCCCTATAAACCAGCCAGCAAGGGCACCCTGGCCGAGCGTGCTAGGGCATTGGGACTGGAAGATTATGCCGATCGTCTGCTATATGGAACAGCGCCGCAAGTGAAGCTTTCAGCCATTGTGGATCCCAGTAATGAGTCCTTGGCCACCGAGACTCTGGTGCTGAATGGAATCTGCAACATTATTATACACAATATCAGCAAAAACACAAATGTATTGGAAGAGCTGAGGAGATTGTAAGTCTGGCGCTGATCCAATCATCCAAATGAGCTCGAGAAAACTTTTGTAATTTCAGGCAAAATGTACACCGGATTGTGCTGGTATGTAGCAAGACAAAGGAGTCGTCGTCCAGCAAGGCAAGCACAAGTAGCAGCAGCAGCAAATCGTCCAAGAACAGTGCCATTACCGACAGGAAGATAGACAGCTCAAAATTTGAGAACTACTTTAATTTTCAGTGTGACATAAAGACAATTAAGCCCCATCAGATGCTAGCGATCAATCGTGCTGAAAAGCACAAGTTTATATCCGTAAAATTGGATACAAGCGATTACCTAAAGAGAGATCTCTCACGCTTCATCTCCGAGCAGTACATGTGTCAGGGTTTGCAGTATCCACTGCGAAGAGAGACATTTACCAAAGCCCTGGAAGAGTGCATCACGAAGAAATGTAAGGCGTAAATATTCCACAATTTCTGCAGCTTAATAGCATGAGATTCTTTCAGTGCAGCCTTTGATGTGTCGCCAGATACGCGCCGACCTCAAGGAGAAGGCCCAGAAGGCGGCTATCGATGTGTTTGCCAAGAACCTAAAGCAGTTGCTGCTCATATCGCCTCTCAAGGGTGAACGGATTCTGGGCATCGATCCGGGGTACACAAACGGCTGTAAGTTGGCAGTTATATCTGAAACGGCTGATGTGCTGGATACAGGTGTCATCTATCCGCATGGCGTGAGAGCCAACAAGCGGGCAGCCGAACAAAAGCTGGTGGAACTGCTCAGCAAGCACAAGTAACTATTTGGAAATCATTTTGCGAGCTTTATGTTTATCTTATTGTCATTCGTAACAGCTGCCAAGTGATTGCCCTGGGAAATGGCACCGCATGCCGCGAAACAGAGTTTTGGTTGAGTGATCTATTCCATGCCGGAATTCTGGACAGTCGAAGCATTCGCTACAGCATTGTAAACGAAAATGGTGCCTCGGTTTACTCCTGCAGCGATGTGGCCAGCAAAGAGTTTCCCAATATGGACACAAACGAACGGAGTGCAGTGTCCATAGCACGACGTCTGAACGATCCTCTCAGTGAGTATGTGAAGATAGAGCCACGTCACTTGGGCGTGGGCATGTACCAGCATGACGTGTCAGAGAAGACACTCACGGAATCCCTGAAGGACGTTGTCTCTGAATGCGTGAGCTATGTGGGCGTGGACCTCAACACTGCCAGTCTGAGTGTGCTCAAGTAGGTGGACAAATTATATACTTTGACTAAAAATTATTAGCATTTTAAAACTCTCCCTTTGAAGACACATTGCTGGTCTATCGGAGAAGAAGGCAGAAAGGATCATCGAGTATCGCACGGAGAAGGGACCCTTTCAGTCCCGCAAGGATCTGCTCTCGGTGCGTACCATAGGCGAGAAATCATTTGTACAATGCGCTGGCTTCGTGCGCATCGAGCCGTTGAGCGTGGGTGGGCGACTGAAGAATCCACTTGACTGTACTTGGGTCCACCCGGAAAGCTACAAAGTGGCTGAAACGTGAGTGCAATTCAATCAACATTTATTCAACTTTCTGTGACATTTTCACCAGTCTGGAGGTGTCACTGGACTCTGTGGTAAATTTGCTGTCACTGCGAGTTAGCTTCGCCGCGATACACATATTGCAGAGATAGTTGTTCGTGCGCCGTTTGTCACGCTCCTCACTGGAGTCACTTTTTCGGCACCATGAAGGCAAATACGGGCTCAGTGGGTCCTTGTTGTTGCAGCGCTTGCAGGTGCAGTTCTCGGTACCGGCACGTAGAAAGCTCTTGAAATCTCGCTTCTTCGATAGCAATGCAAGATAATCCTCAATGGAGTACTCCTTGTTGGGGTCCAGTAGCTCCGCCCAGGTCCTAAGCTTGACGGCGACACCAAAGAAGTACTGGTCCAGATCATCGATGGTCTGCAGCACGTGGTCTAGCTCCAGCATGAACGGGCTCTTCAAAGTGCGATCCAGCTTGCTCACACGCACCGTCAACTCCTTCTTGGAGTTGCGCATGCTCAAAATAGATTTCGATAGTTCGTCACTGAAAGATATTGATGAGAGACATAAATGGATTACAGTATTACCACTCACTTAGATTGGCTAATCACATTGTAGGCCTTTTGGAATTCGCACAGCGCTCGCTCGGCCGTCATTCGACTCAAGTACTCTGGATAGATATTGGTGCAGCAACTTTCGCCGACCAGCAGTCGGTAGCGCATGGCGTGATAGCGCATTTGCTCGGCCATTTCAATCTGCAAGACTTTGGCTTCCGTCAGCTGTTCCTCCAGCTTCCTGAACTGCGTCTCTAGCACAAGAATCTGTTCATGGACGCACTGCTCCAGTCGGAAATCAAAGCTGGTGTAAAGTGTCTCGTAGTTTTCGAATGTGGGCTCCAATTGATCGAGGGGTATAGTAGCCCCGCGGCAAGGCGGCGGCAAAGGACGACGCTTGTATCGCTCCGGCGGATACTCCCAACACGGTCCGAAGCGAGCATCAGTGGTAACTGAGATCGGATTTTCCCAGCAGGCCTTGTACACTGGCGCCTTATAGCCGCCATACGAAGCAACCTCGCCGCAGGCTATAATCTTGGTCCTGGTTGGCTTTAGCTTCGGTGGATAGCTCCAGCGCTCTTCATACAAACGCTGCAGCTCAGCAAGCTTTCGCTTGGGCGGCATGACTTGAATTAAATTGAATTGAGAATTTGTATTATAAACCAAAATTTTTGTTTTACTTGTTCAGTATCGTTGGAGAATGTGACTTGAAACTGTCGGATATAGGCAAGGCTAGTTTTATATTGCGTATCAAGGAGTTTGCCGCTTCGCAAACGAAACTGGATCGCATAGCCAAGCAGCATAAACTGCCCATGGATAGGGTAAGCCATTCAAACATCAAGTTTTATATATTTTATACTAATTTTTGGAATGATAACAGCTGCAATTCCTGCTGGTGGCTCTGCAGCGGGAACTGTTGCAGGATTATCGAACTGATTTGGACAAGCGGCCGCTTTTCAAGCAGGGACTGACACGAATCGAAGACCTCAGCAATTGTGATGTGGTTACCGGTAAAAATAGAGGAATATTCTTGTGTACCCTCGACTTATCCTGTATCTTTAATTTTCCAGGTGCTGTTACCAATGTAACACATTTTGGTGCCTTTGTCGACATTGGTGTGGAGCGTGATGGTCTTTTGCACAAGAGCCACATGAAGAACTGCGACCTAAGCATTGGCGATCGCATCGTGGCCTCTGTGGTGAATTTGGACAAGAAGCGCCAGAAGTTTGGCCTACGCCTAGAGAACATGCTTGCTGAGACGGACACGTCGTTTACCTTCAAGAACGAGTAATAGCAAACAGCAGGATCAGGAGCTTAAAGTTTTTGGAAGTATTTAATGTATCATTCATATTGGGCTGCTCACATGAGCATATACATGTATACTATATATAACTCGTATATATATGTATATATATGTGTATCTGTATAGTATAACGGCTTTCCTAAAGTTACTCAAAGCTTATCAGTTAGTTTTAAATGTTCACATAAAAATCACCGCCTCTACAATGCGCGTTCTTGTTTCCCTTTCTTTATTCGTAATATGTTCTGAAGTTCTTAGATGAGAATGCTCGTGTGTGTGTGAGTGTGTATGTATGTTTTTTGGAGTTCAAAGGGATTGGGGGTACGTGGATAGTACTCGTATTGCTTTAAAACTAAGTGTTTGAGTGAGTGAGTGAGTGTGAGGGGTGCCCTCGCCGAGCCGTTTAAAATGTTGTAACTAAATTAATATACAATATGCATACATTTAGGCGGCACTTGGCTTAGCGGGCGAGCATTCGTTCGCTTCAGTTAGTTGGTATTTTCGAATTTATTGCCTTTTCATTAGAATTGTTAAAAATTATTATAAACAATGTTATACAGTTTGCATTTACATAATTACACAATACAATTAAATTTACTCGTAATAATATATTCAAAAATATATATACTATATAATATGTATGCTTTTGTTTTTGTTTAGATTTATTGTTTCCCCATCAAATATCAAATTTCATATTCTAGCTACATGGACATGTGGCGTAATCAACCAATAATTGCTCAAATAAATATTACTCATCCGCTCATAATATTGGAGTAAGTTGTGTTTTGCTTTGTTTCCTACACAGATCAAATAGGAGGATAATTGTATCGCAAAAAGGCCAATGAACGAGTCATACATATATGAGAAGCATATGTGTGCTATGTACGATTATGTATGATATATGTACGAAATTGTTTATGACAATGATAGCTAAATGTGCTCCTCTTATCCTCTCTCATCGCTTTATTGTTACTTTTCTTCAGTTGTTTTCGTGTGTGGTGCGTGTGTGTGGTGTAATGTGTGTGGTGTGTGTGTAGCGAAATTGTTCAATAATTTATAATTTATTTTTATCATTTATAATGATAGCATAGGTAATGATGTAAGTATTGTATATCAATTCTCGTAATTATAATCTATGTGTAAAGCGATTCGCTCTCACGTTCATAAACGATCGTTCAGCAGAATCTTTGGCCAAACGAATCCAAATCGAATTGCTAAATGCCAATATCTCTGTTGAACGACCATTCAGATTACATAGTACATAAAACCATCTCATACAGTTAACAAATTCGATTACAAATTGGGTTCGTATTTGTAGTCTTAATCATCTCAATGTGATCTTCCGCTTAGCCTTAAGATCCGGCACTTGGAATCATTCGATCGGTAAAGTAGGATATATGTATTGGCAGATTTTTGTTTTTTTTTTTTGTTGAGTGGGTGCCGCACGGCACGGCACGGCACAGCCGGAACCCGTGAGTGTGTGTGTGTGTGATTGGGTGGGTGGGTGTGTGGTTGGAGCCTCTCTATACCGCTCCCGCTCCCTGCTGCATGAGTGCTGATTATGCGAGTGTGTGGTGCGGTGTGGTGTAGTGTGGCAGCTTGGCATATTCGGAGTATTCTATATTCATGGGTATTGCATCACTGCTTCATCTCTGAATGAGAGAGAGATAGAAAAACTGTTAAATGCATTTTAGATCTTCCATTTTGGGCATGTGGAACTTACCAACTGCCAACTAGAGGCGGATACGGATGTGTATGTGGTGTTTGTCTTTTGTTTTGCAGTGTTGATATGATCGAAATCAAGAGCGAAACGAAAAGTAATTAAGCGAATTTCTTCTCCTTTCTGCAAGTGTAGAATGAAAACCAAAATTAACAATCAACAAACAAAGAATGTTCTGAAATGTTCGATATACAGATGTGGAGCCAAACTAGACACTGACGAGTAAGCAATAAAACATTGAGATATTTGTAGCCTATAGCTTGCTCACATTCAAGACGGGTTTTAGCTAGTAGGAGGAGTACTGATCGGGTCATTTTCAGAGAGAAGCACCTTCGTTGGACTGCTGTCCGCGGATCGCTAGCCTCCAGGCAAGAGGCAACTACTCGTTTAAAGGCTTTTGGAATGGTAGAAATGCCGCCAGAGCACGCTACAGCAGCAGAAGACATCGAGCCATCTGTAAGATTGAAGAATTCTTCCATTTGGGTTCTGTTTTTTCTTGTGTTTGTTTTAACTGGCATTAATTGAACGGAACGTAACGAGCGGGCTGGGGTAACAACGTATGGTAACGAGTAACGCATTTCTTTTTAGGAGTCCATAAAATGTTCGGTTCGGTTAGCATGACTCTCATTGTATGGTACATCAGTGTTTGTGTTGTGTTATGGGTGTATAAATGTGGGTCTACAATCAATCAATCAACCAGGATAACCAGCGAATAGAGTGTGTGTGTGTGTAGTGATTCCAGGGATATTCTTATCATACAAGCTTTGATTGGCTTCGTTCTACTTAAAATTGTATCTCTATCTGCTTGATGTGGTGTGCAAATTGCTTGTAAAACTCTTGTAATATTTCTGTAATCTCATCATCTATGGTAAGTGTATGTATGTTGTATATATCGTATGCTTTTAGCTTAGGTATAAACGCATAAACGTCTGCTACTAATGAACCACATTTGTGTTTTGTTATTTAAATATATTGTTCTTCATTTCTTTTATTTTCTAAATCTATGTATATTTTCTATATAGTTTGCATGTATAACGCCAAAAGTTCGGGGTTTATAGCTACGAGTGCTACCAAAAAACATTAGTTCTCTATAGTTAACTATGCGCATCTTGACTTTCGGTTTCAATCGGGATATCTTTTTGATGAATCTTTTGAATTTTCACAGCATTTGTGGTGTATGGGTTGTGGGGTTGTTGCTCTCAAAATAAATCCACATAACAACTAATTATATTAGGGGATTATGTTTATGTTCACATGGTTTTAATTGCCTAAACGCAACGCTCAAGTCTGAATTCTGTATTATTGTTATAGTTAAAAACTATTCAAAATTAAAGCTTGTACAGGGCACACACAGGTGGTCTCAGGGATGATCCAAGATGGTACATATGATGGGACCACAATGAAAGGCAAGGCAAAAACTCAAAAGCGAATTGAAATAAACGCACAACACGAAATATACAATTTATATTTACAGCCACAGAAAAAAATTAAAGGAATGTGAATACAGTGCAGTCACGCCAGCAACATAAGAAAACACCGCAGCAAACACAGTCCCAGAACAGCCGATTCCAAAGCAAATTGGACGGCACTGAGAACCGGGGATATCTGCTGGGGTAGGTGGAACGAACAACACAAGTAACAAAACAAAACAAAATAGGGGAGAAAACAGAAACAGAAACAGTAACGGATCGAAGCGAACGCTTTAAACCACACAAGCTGAGAAAACTCCCATTACGCGTCAGCCAATGTCCTGCTGGACATTGCCGCCGGAGGATGAGGAGCTGCTGCCGCTAGCACGTGGTTGCTGACTGTACCTGTTCGATGACTGTTGCTGCCGTTGCTCCTTCTGCTGTTGCTCCTGAATGTTAATACTTGGCGTAGTGGTGGGCGTGCAGCTGGTGCCCACAGGGAATGTGTCAGCTTCTTCGTCAAGGATTGCCTGCGCCGGCTGCTGCGCCTGCAGCTCCAATTGCTGCTGATCGGCCAGCATTTTGGCGCTGAGTATGCTCACATACGTGCGGTAACGACGAAGCTGTAGGATAAAATAAATATTCGAATTTACACACACACGATGAGGCACGGCACGGGGCTCACTTCATATTGCAAATAGCTCTCCTTTTCCTTGTAGTTCTGCAGTGGCAATCCTTTGCTGGGTATCGGGCCCTTCTTGTGCTCGTTGAGCTCCTGCTCTAGCTGCGCCAGCTGCACCTCGTGCGACTCCAACTGCTCCTTCTGCAATGCAAAGAAAATATATTCCATGAGATATGGTTCCCTTGATAGGTTTCTATCCCCATTCAGATACTTGCCACCAATAGTTTGGTCTGCTTGCTGGGCAAGAGTGGTCGCTGGAATCGCTTCTGGCTGCCCACACCGCCCTCCAGTGGTGGCGCCGAAATGGCCGCGCACACATAGTTGATCGTTTCGACCCACGAGTGGAGCTCCTTGGAGTCGCTTGTCTGGAAGAGATACTCGGCCTGATCGGACGTCTGCAGACGGAACACATGTTGCTTCTTGGTGTAATCATTGGCCTTGGTGGCCAGGGCGTGATGTATTCGTATTGCATTGTGCAGATTGTCGGACATCTGTGGAAAACAAAATAAATTAAAAGAGTCCCATGACTCTGATCACTTCTACTCACTTGACTCTTACGAAAACCATGCTCATCCTTATGCAAATATAGTACAAGATCACGCAGCGTGCAGTAGAACATCTTCCAGGAGCGTTTACCAAAGGGAGCTGCGTGTGGAAAAAGAGAGTTTTAGGTCATCAAATTCTATTATAGTTCAATTTGTAAATCCTCACTCTTTTTGTAGCTGCTATCGTAGCAGCATTTGCGCATCACATAGCCCTTCTTGTACTCCACCGCGGTGGCCAGTTCGGGTGCATCCAGGAAGGGATTCTGTCCAACATTTCCCAGTGCATTGTTGGCAGTGCGCTGCTGCAGATCACCCGCATCGTCATCTCTGCAAGAAGCAATCCTATTTAATGCATATCCTTTTAATAAAGAGATGGTTTGTACTTACAGAGCCCATTCCAGCGGCTTCGTTTTGATGGCCTGATACAATAACTTGAGTATATCCTTGGGAAAGTTCTCGCCATCGTTGAGATCTGCCAGATTGTCGACAAATTCCGCACAGCTCATCTTGCGATTCATATTCTGGCCATGCAGATCCGTGTTCAGCAGCATAATGGCACAGGTCAGTGTGTGCACCGCATCCTGAGAGTTGAATGTACCCGGATTGCAGTCCAGAAAACGCTTCGAGAAGTGCACTAGGACCCGCTCTCGCTCCTGGGTCTCGCCGGACAGCGAGAACTGTTGCAGGAACTCGCGCAGTGACTGATCCAACGACTTTTTCTCGAAAGTGAAATGCTTTAGATACTCATCGGCGACCGCCCTGCTAAAGTCGTTGCTGAAACGAAATCCAAAATGAGTCAAACGATTCTCTAAAGGATCTGTGGCACTCACTTCTTGCTGAGGTGTCGGGAGACGTCGCTTTTCTTGAAACCATCGAGAGAATACAGTCTTTTGGCCAGGCGTATGGCCGAGGGCATGTCTACAGCCTTGGGCGAGTAATGGTAGGAGTGCAGCGATTCCACATCGCTGCCATCATCGGAAACGGGTGGGGACGCGTCTCGCACACCGTGCGCCCCTGCCCCCGCACCCGACGACATCGTTGTATGCGGCTGCTCATCCGCCAGCGTGACCACATCGTCATCGGACCGAGCCGCACTGCCACCGCCGTTGTTGTCCATTCCTCGCACTTGGATGACCACCTTGTGCTCCGACTGATCTCTGTCCCTTTCCCGAGTCTGCTGCTGCTGGGCACGCAGCTGCTGTTTGAGCTGCTGGCGCTGCAGGGCGGCCCCATCCGAGACGAGTATGGTGGAGTCCGAGTCACTGGGATCGCTAAGTACCATGCCGCCTAGAATATCGCGAGAACTCAATAAGTTATCGTCGTCTTGGTAGTCGGGACTAGATATATTCGAAATGGCCTCTGAGACGCTCAAATCGTTGCCACAACCACTAGCACCACCACCACCGCCGCCAGCACCATTGCCAGCCCCTGGACAGGTTAGCAGACAGGGCATGCCAGTGGGCGGCTGCAAGAAGGCTTGTCCGCCATTTTCTCGATGCTGCTGCTGTTGGTCCACTGCCTGACCATTGCCACCTAGGGCACCCTTCGATCCCGATGAGGACATCACCGACGAGGACACCGATGTGGGGGAGGCCGGACTGCCTGCAGCCGAATGCTGCGGCGACGAACTAATGGAACTTGAATGTGAATTTGAATGCGATTGCTGACCGTAGAGTTGCTGCTGTTGTTGCTGATGATGTTGCTGCTGCTGCTGCTGTTGAAATATTAACTGTTGCTGCTGCTGTTGCTGGAGCTGTTGCTGCGCCTGCTGCTGTTGGATCTGCTGCAACTGATGTGGCTGCAGTGGTGCATTATAGGTCCACACAATCCGATCTCGATCCGATGCCTAGTTGGGGTTTGGTTGTATATAAAAAAACAAAGATTAGTAGTCGAATGTGTACTTTCAAGGAATGTAGTTTTAAGATTCGTTTTTGTTCGATTTCAATTAAGGTTTGAGGTTTTTTTTTTGATGGCTCTCGAATTTCCATTTTGACGTTGCCCAATCTCACTCTGATGAGAGTCCTAAACAATTGCAAAAGTGGCATTTGTTGTGTTTGAAGCGTTCTCTGTGTTATTTTTTCTTTTTCTTTTTTTTTTCGCTGTGTGTCCTGTGTCTGTGGTATGCGTATGCAGCAGGTGTACGACAAGTATTTGGTGTGTATGTGTGTGTGTGGATAGGTGTTTTGTTTCCTCATAGATCCACATACGATATAGAGTATGTTTTGCAAAACTTTTAGACTACTATCAATCAATTTCTACATATACAAAACTGTTCCAAGCGCAGGCAAAGAAATCAAAAATTCGCAACTTAAAAAAAGATCACACAGAGATCAAAATCAAAATGAGTCAAAGATCACAGTAATCGGCATGCCAACTATGCAACATGGCAACCTTTTTGCATAGGATATAGTTTAATTTGTTGCTGCAGTTTCCGCCGCTGATCATCTTCTTGTTAGTTCTCGCTGCAGTCGTTTCTATCGTTACAGTTGCTGTTGCCATACTGCTTTCGCACTCGCTCTCGATCTCGGCCTCGGTGCTCTCGCTGCTATTGTTGTTCCCTATTGCTGGTGTAGTTGTGGGACTGTTGTTGTTGCAGCTATTAAGCGGTTCACTTTCAATTTCATTCTCGTTCTCGTTGTTGTTCAACGCCGACGAGTTGTGGACAATGGTCGCCACCGACGAGACAGTGGTGGCCGTCGACTAGAAAGCTCACACGTTCATGGACAATAAATTGCGCATATGTCAAATTTGAGATAGTTGAGAGAGAGAGTCAAAATATGAGAAACAAGAGAGAACGGAGAACAGAGAAAACGAAAAGAAGAAAGATACACGAAACAAGAGAGTAAGATAGACAGAGTTGTTTAGTAGTAAGTAGGAAAGATTAAAGTAACGTGTGGCAATGAACGAGTAATGGAAGGTAGTAAGTGGGATAGGTACAAACGAATGGGAGTGTAATGGATAGGATATAAAAGTACCGAGTAATGAGTGAGAACTACCGGGAATAGGGTGGGGAATGCATATGGAATCGTATATGGAATATGATTTATAGAACAATGCAATGGTTTTACAGTCAAATATATACACACATACGACAACAGCTACAGTAACCAGAGTTAACGGCAAACTGAACTCTACAAAGCACTTCAAACGGTAGGGAGTTTCAACGGGTTGGCGAGGATTATACGGATTACTACATGATCGAGAGAGACAGAGAGACGCGGAACCGTATGTGTGTTATTTTTTTGGCAGGGTGGGGGAGCTGGGGAAGATCGATCTGGCGGAAAGTTCGACGTGGCACACTAGCGACGGTATTTCATCTATGGCCTATCGCCATCTATGGGCGGCTAGAGATCTATCCGGCGTTTGGAGGGGATGTGGTAGTACATGGTGCGCTCGACTTGACGCCTCACCTGCGAGTCCTCGGAGTCCTGACGCGTGTCCAGCAGCGTATTGAGTGAACTATTCACATCCTCATCAATGTCGATGGGTATCACAGCCGCAATGCCCTCGCGCTGGATCTGCTGCAGATGATCCTCGGACTTGCTGGTGCGGAAGCCGGCGGCATCACATTTGCGCACCACATGCCCATTGTGATGGCGTCGCACAACAACGACACCAGCGGCCCCGCTACTCGACTCTGGGGCCAAAGAGCTCGGCTCCGGGCTGGTGGGCACCGAATTGGCCGTCTCCTTGTCGATCAGAGGCGTCGACAGTGAAATGGGTGATGTTGGCACTGAGAAGGAGGTCTCGTCCTGCGAGGTATTGGCTGCGCCCAGGCCAACGCCCATTGGCATGCCGCCGCCCGCCTCGCTCTTTACCGTTGCGGACGAGGTGGAGCCCGAGGCAGAGTAGCCGGGCATACGAGCCGCACAATCGACAGCATCTCGATTGCGCAGCTGCTGCTGTCGCGTTGCCGCACGCTGCTTGAGGGCACGCAGTCGCTGCTTCGTAGAGCCGGAGCCCAGCGAATTTGTCGAGTAATCCTCGTCACCGGCATCGTTATCTTCCTCGTCGTAGGCATCATCATCATCATCGTCGTCCTCGACCAGACACTGCCGATCGCTGTCATCCTCATCGCCGCGTCCCATCCCGCTCTGGTACGTCTCTATGTTGGTGATGTCGTAGTGGGTCTGATCCTCCTCGCGCTCCTCCTCCGCCTCTGCTTCCACCTCCTGCTCCTGCTCCTCGTCCAGCTCATCCTCGTTCTGGTAGTACTCGTATCGTTGCTGTTGCTGCTGCTGGCGATAGCGCTGCTGTTGTTGACGTTGTCGCTGGTGCTTGCTGTCCTCCTCCAGGACATATTCACCCTCCTCATCCCGCTCCAGCTCCTCGCACATCAACAGCGTGTCATTTGTGAGCGAATCCTTGCGGTTGTAGCTGTTGTTGATGCTGTCCCGCTGCTGCTGCTGGTGCTGCTGCTGCGGCAGCTGTTTGCGTTGCAGCTTCGCCTCACGCTTCACCGAATCCGAGCTGGTGTTGGTGGGTGAGTCCACCGAGGAAGAGGATGTGGGCGATGATTCGCCCGATGCTCGTGGCGCTAGGGCGCCATTGATCCGGGAATTGGGCAGACGAATCGGCGAATCCCTCAGACTGTCAACCTGCAAAGGAATTTGTGGGTTTTAGGTAAGAGAAATCTTGTACGTGTTTCGTTCCATTACTCACTTTCTTGGCCTGGGTCGTTAGGTGATTGCTGGTCTGTGGTGTCCTGGACAGATTCAAGATCAAATCACCCGTCATCATGTAAGCCTCAAAGCGTGGCGCCTTCGCCGGCTGCGGTGGCGCCGAGTTCGGTTCTGGCTCCCTGTCTGTGTTCGGCTCTCGCTCCGTAGAGATTCGCGGCCGGGCGACGGGACTGCCGCTGTAGCTGTTCGAGTGCTGCAACGATTGCGGTGGCAGCTGGGAGTTGTGTGCACTTCCGTTACCGTTCCCGTTGCCGTTACCGTTCGATGCCTTTGTGGGTATCTGGGAGGATCGTGGCCGCTTGTTCTGTGGCGAATGCAGCACGGGCACGGGCTTGGGCGCTGGGCACTTTCGCGCCTGTGGAATGCGTGAGGGTCGGTGCGTCGGCGAGGTGGCGTCCGAGCCCGTAGGCGATGTTGGTGCTGCACTAGTGGTGATGGTTGATGTCGTCTGAACGGTGGTCTCCACCACTTTTATCTTGGTGGAGCTGGCCGAAGAGTTGCGGCTGTGTGTGTGGGTGGTCGTTGTGGTGGATCCACTGGCCAGCAGCGGCGAGGAGTTCTGCCGCAGCGATGGCAAGTGTGTGGGCGACTTGAAGCGCAGTCCGCTGGCTGCTGGAGAAGATCCCTTGCTGTTGTTCGGACGATGGTTGGGCGAGGAATTAGCGCTGTGGCTGCTGTTGTAGTCGTAGATGTTGGGAGATTCAATATCTACATAGTGTGGACTCTGTGTGTTGGCCAGCTGCTCTTTAATGCGTGCCTTAAGCTTGGGATCTAATGGGAGATGATTAGAGCATTATTAGATTTATTTCTATAGACATTTCTTGAGGTTCCATTTACCTCGCTTCAGCTCCAAGGTCACCAACTGTTCCGACAGACGCAGGCATTTGAGAACTATACCAAAAAGATAAAGAAAACATTCGTTATTTGCTGCTGTTTCCTGAAAGATGTTTCTTTATGCTATAACTTACCTTCCTTCGTTGTATAGCGATGGACATCGGTTCCGTTGACTTTGAGGATGACATCCCCGGCTTCAACCTGCAAAAATATATGTATGGTGGTCTCGTTAGTTCCGACCGTAATCGAATCACTCGACAACAAAAGGTCTTATTGATTTTCTCTTTTTGGGTTTTCGGTTTTTTGAGCGACGCCGTCTGTCTGCCCATCCAGCAAACACTATGGCTGTGTCGACTGTCCGCACTTGTAAACTATTTTTAATTTTCTTCTCGATGGGCCTTCAACGTAACGCAAGAGTGAACAGAAAGAACAACAACAGAAAAGAACAAAAAAAAAACAGCAATGGCAACAAGGAAAATAGAAAAATAACATGAAATCACAACGTGGGCCTCCTCCCGTCTATTTCCACTACCACCGGCAACAACATTGGCGCCTTATTTACTTGCTGACGTAGAAGCGAACGATGGAATGAGCGTCTCCGGAGGAGACGTCACACTCAGTGTCCGTGGCGGAATGGCACGAGTGCGCGTCGTACGCTAATATGCTCCACCACATGGATTATTCAATAAATGCTGAAACCTCCTAGCATAGAGAGGAACCAAAATACGACACGCGCCAGGCGCCATCTTCTTCGTCATGCAAAATGCATCAGCAGCAGCGGCAGGTACACAGCAGCATTACTTTTATTGCATAATTAGTTTTTCCTGCTTCCCTCACTTGTGTATTATATTTATTATTAATGTTTTTTTTGGGAGTAAAGCGTTGGCCGCCTCCTCGGGCTCTCGAGGGTTTGTTTCCACTTGGCAGCCGAGATGGCAAAGGGGCCGCAATTTAAAACTAAAAGTCTCACTAATTTATGCGCTATGCTCTCCAAAGTTCGTTTACAATAAGACCGAGGAGGGACGGAGAGACGGAGCGAAGGCGTCAGCTGAGCATGAAGCGAGAGCACGTTCAGTCTGCACGACAGAGCAACCGGCTGCACAACCAAAAATGAGAGAGAGAGAGAGAGAGAGAGAGAGAGCGCCCAAGAGAACTAATGCAAAGAGACGCGGATTCTGTGTTCTTGTGGGAGGTGGAAATGCAATTCAATTAAAACTGTGTTTAATTAAATTGCTTCCCAAAAAAGTGCTTTATATAACCAACCCCAAGGTTACATCCCATGGGAAAGGACAGAAATGAAAAGAAAGTGGATTTGGGGGATTAAAGGAATTTCTAGCCAAAAGAAAGTCTCAAATCCGTAATGCAAATTTTATGTTTCCCCTTTCAAGACACTTCCACTATCAGACGGTGGATTGACAGCATCTCAGCATGGGAGTACCAGCGCGCACTCATCTCCTCCTGCACTCACAAAACATGTTTCTACGATAACAAGCTACGATTAATGACTTACAGCAAAGGTGAAGGCTCTCTCTCTCTCTCTTCTCCTTCCCTCACCATCATCTTCATCGGATATTCGATTAGGCAGTTTACAAACACAAACACAATGCAGCAGCAGGTGCACACTTCTCCCCTCTCCGCTAGTCTAGTCGTATGCTCATGCAAATCAGCACACACACACGAATACACTTCTTTGGCATTTCACTTTCACGCGCCAGAGCAGAGGCAGGCGCAAGCAGTCAAGCAAGCAGGAGAGTCAACCAGCAGAGCAGGCAGAAACCCGGTTTAAAGTTAAATCAATCAGTTACACTCGATTGCAGCAGGCAGGTCCAACCCCTCCCCTCCCCACCCCCTCACCAACCCACCACACATATACCTCTACCTTCCTCACTTCACCCTTGGATGCAACGCTCGCAGCACAAATTTAAATTGGTTTGAATTGATTTGTTTTCCAATGCCACTTTGAAGAGTGTTTTTTTCGTGCACTTCCTACGGCACATTCCCATCTCTCATCTTCGATTTGTTTGTTATCTGCGAGAGACATTTCGCTCGCACACCGTATTGGGACTTACGGCACTTTAAGGGCGTTGCCAGATGCAGGAAAAGTGCATATGCACTGGACGAGGGTTGACAGAACTGGACATTAAGTTAACCCTGGAAATACATAACTCGGAAAACAAAAAGAAAACAAGACACACATTTATTTGTTCTAGGCAAACATTAACTCAACATTAAAGCAAATAACGGAAATCTTATCAGTTTTCTCTCCTTCCTAATACCACAATAATCTCTTGGGAATCACATTTTAACCCATTGACAACCTCATACTCTTTTCGATTTGAGTAATTTTAGCATTCTATTTTCATACTCGACTATCAATTAATGAGCACTTGAATCAGCAATTAATGTCCAATTATATGGTTGCTCCGTTTGTTATTTCGGAAGTGTTGCACAAAAGATACAATATTTAATGTGTATATATATAGTGTGTCCATATATAGATTTATGTTCAATGACGTTTTATTGACACATCGCCACCGACTTGTTCCAATATCAATTAACAATAGCAACAATCGAACGCCCACTCACTAATATGTATAGCGGGTAAACAAGGCAATTGATTGACTGACTCTACGAGTACGATTACGAGTACGAGTATTGGTGGCGACGACCTATTCAAGTACAGACCCCTGTGCCTGTGCACTACCTTCACCGTTATAAGTCGAGGTAGATGTCGATGTGAATGTTTTTGTTGCTGCAGAGTCGTTGACAGGCTGCAGTAATAGAAAAACCCACTAACCTCCTTTGCTGCTGGGCAGAAAAATCAATGTTAGGCGCAGATAAACCCAAGCCCCCAACGCCTCCATAGGCGTTGGGCAAAAAAATAAGAAACGAAAAATATGTAGAGTCGCAGAGGCGGCAGGTGGAACGACATTCGAGTTGTAGACTTATGGCTCACTCAACTAAACAAGCTCTCTTATTGGACTAATGGTTATGCCATTTCTTTGCAATTTGCACTCTCGTGTCATTTTGAAACTGTGATAGACAGTGTCCTAATAATGGGACAGTGGCTAGTGTCCTGTGTCAACCATTTATCAGGCGGCACATCAATCACAACACACTCGGTATTTGGGGTTAAAATAAGTGACATTTAGTGCTGATTTTATCGGTTGATTGGAATAGTGATGGCACAAAAGATCATCGAAATAGAATAGGCAATATATTTTAATGATTTTCTGTATAAAACACTACATTCCAAATGAATTTATACTTTCTCCTTTAGGAAATGTGAGAATCAAAGTCATTCGTATATTCATAATTGAAAAAAAATTCGTACAACCCTCAGAATTACAATGTAATTCTATAGTAATAGTCTTTCACAAACAGCATTTCCTCTATTGTTCCCTTGTTTGATTGATATTCATATCATTTTTCAACCCTGGTCGATAACGAACACACACACAAACACAACTATACAGCCCCCCTCCTTTCTGCACTGGTTTATTGTTGTTTTATTCAATATTCCAACGACCTTGCCGGCCTGGCTCCCCCACATTTATTGTGGATTTCCCTTCATATTTGCGCACGCCGTCGAAAAAAAAAAACAAGAAATAAAAGAGAATCAAATTAGCATGGAATGAATGGTTTATTTCATTATCGTTCTGCTCTCTCTCTCCATCTCTCGAGTGGTTGAGGCTGATGATTGTGTAATCGCGGGAATCGGAAGTCACTGAAACGGTGATGTTATCGCTGCGATGCGTCCGTCCCTTCCCCCCACTAACACTTAACAATGTCAAACAAAGAGGGGAGAGGTAGGGTGGGTGCTGCTATGTAGCGTTGCGACGGCCTGGAATCTGACCTATTGTGATACCTAATAATGTGCGAAATGCCACAGAAACTAGCGGCGACTGTTGACTGGCTGTTGATTGAGTGATTCCATGGGATGCCCCCACTAGACAGGAGCTGGAATCGGAAATTGCTTTCGCACTTACCGCCATTTGAGAAACCTTCTTCCCACATGTTCTCTATCATCAACTTACTCTCTATCACTCTCTCTCTCTCTCTGTAACTAATATAGAGCAAGTTGTTCCTGTCAATAATTGGAGCCAAGCTTTCAATTTGTTGCCCTCCTACATTTCAATTTGTGGGAAACTCAATGAAGAAACCATGTATCAAGTCACTCATCTGCCAATTCATCTCTTTAATTAAATTTGCACTCGCTTATTTAGCAGAATCAAGGCAAACTATCGATTGCGCAACAAGACTAGTTTCTTGGCCACACAAAATTGGCAATAATTTAAGATATTCTTCCCTCTTCTTCCTATATTCAAAATTTCGAAATAAATTGAAATTAGCACAAAACATGCACGAAAATGTCAGGAAATTGCCTATATTTACCATATTTTCCAAACAAACAATAAAAACAGCGAAAATGTTTTGTTGCTGGCGATGTTTGCAAAACGCATAAAACTGATTGCAACAGGAACAAACTGAAGAGAATGGTATTGCGAATACAAATATTAAACTAACACAAGGAAAATAGAGAGACTGTAAAGATTCAAACTTGTATTTTATTTTCTAATCAAAGCAAGAATATTTATAGTTTGCCACATAAATACCCACATATACCCACATGTACCCCCTCTAATAATGGGGGGTTTACAAAATAGAGCCAGGCAGCAGCAAAAACATCAAGAAATGTTTTCGCAAACAAGTTGGCCAACGATACACACAAAAGTTGTGTATGTATTGCAGCGCATTCTAGGATTCGAGCGGCTTTCTGTTTTTGTTTGCTTTTTTGGACTTTTATTTTAAACAGTCGACAGAAACAAAAACAATGGGGCATATGCCTAGAAGCAGGGTTTATTTTTGCTATTGATTTGCATTTGCATATGCACTTGCCTTGGCTGTTGCTGTTGTTGTCTGTTGAAATTTCTGTGCGCATTTCGTTGCACTGCTGCGAATGTGGGCCACAAAAACGTAACAGAGAGCAAATTCCAAGCCGGCCGGCCGGCAGGCCACTTTGCATCTAATTGAGGAGAGCCCACTCTGAGCGGATAAGGCAGCAGAAGAGCCAGATAAAAGCAGCACCTCCGGTAGTCAAGGGATGTTGGGTTGAGATGAGAAGAGGGTTGCCATTCAATTTGCAGACAAACTTTCAGGGGGCAACGCTTGTGGAGATGCACCGTTGTTGCTTTTGTTAATTTTATTTTTATACTCTTGCACAGAGTTATTTATCAACTCGAAAGGAATGGGAGTGTTACTGTCTTTCGCTGTATGTGCCTAAATCAGCTATGCAAATGCTTCCCTAATGGGCATGTATTTCATTTACAAGAGTATTCAAACCTTCGGTCGGACCCAAAAGCATAGCTTCTGTTTTGGTCGTTTATCTTCGGTAATGCTTGGACGCACACACGAACGGGCCGGCCAGCCAGCGAGCGAGTCAGAGCGGGCACAAACAACGCCAAATATAAATGCTTTGGATTTAGCGCAAAGTTTACTGCTTCGGTAGCACAACACTACGCTTTCTACTACACTTTTTGCATGCCTGCTGAGTGCCTTATGCACTTATTGTTCTTATTATTTCTTTGATTGTTGCTGGAGTTGCCCCACTGCTCTGCCTCTGCTGTTGCTGCTGCTTATGCTGCTCGCTGTGCCGTGGCGTGCAACGAACCGCAGCGATGGAGCCGCGCAGCGTGCACACAGGGTACACCTCAGGGTCTCTACCGCCACTCAAGAAAAAGAAATGGCAGAGAGGATAGAGAGAGAAAAGGGGAAAGAGGGAAAAAGAGAAGAAAAGCCAACTTAATAAACGCGTGCACAATTTTTCATACTGTTGTAATTCAATTAAAGCGAATTTACTCTACTTTTTTGCACTTTTGACTTCAACTGAACCGAACGAGAAAAAAAAGGTCAGTAGAAAGGGCAGGGAGAAAGGAACCTTTCAAAAGAGAAATGTAAGTCAAAAGCAAAAGAACTCGCTTGACATTTCATTTATTTTAAAAGAATTCTTCTAAGGCTGTAGACTGTTTTTTTCCTTGCTACTCTCTGTGCTTTTCAGAGCTTGAAGTTTGCCGTCTATGAACTCTGATGTGACGTTTCCTTTAACGTTTCTATTGTCATTACCCAAAATTTTCCAGGCGATAGACTTCCACCCCGTTCATCGTTGTCCCAGCGTGTGATCGGTATTAGACGGCGGGGGCATTCTACATTCTAGAAAATCAATAAATAGCTTGGAGACACATTTTTCCATGTTTCTCTACTTCTGTTGTCTGTGTGCCATGTCGGTGGCAATTAATTTGTTCCCTCCAACAGCAGGCGTAGCCGAGAGCCAACAAAAGTCGTTTGTCATTTCCAGTTAACGAGTAATTAAGCAAAACGTTAGAATTTTGCAACAGAAGCAGAGGCAAACCGAACAGAAGAGACCACACCACACCACAAGACCAGAAAACACAAGAGAACAAAAGAAGCTCTGGGGAAATGGTTGGAGAAATAAATGCGAAAAAGTCCGGGCAGGCGAAATGGGTTTGGCCACACATTCGTTTTATTAAAAGTTTTGTTTCTGAAGAAGAAAGGAAGACGAGAGGAAACAGAATGTAGCACTCTCTTTCGCAATAGAAAATTTAATAAGTATGGTGGGAAGAGACTAATGGATACCCAATTATCTGTTTTCGTATTTAGTTTTCAGCATACAAAGTATTAGGAGTCTGGGTGTAGATCCTGATTAATTTTGTACATATATATATTAGGATATATTTTTTTATATTTTTCAGCATATGTATACTCTTTAACATTTTGAGTACCGGGTACTCAGCAAGCAGCTGAAATCAAAGTAGATCCAAGACAAGGATAGCATGAGAGGGACAGCCAAATATCTACAAAGTGCTGTTGGAACTGCAAAGATTAATGACAAAACAAACACATGTGTAGTGAAATTTTGAAAATAACTATATTAAAAAGATTCTAGATGATAATTGATCATGTGTACTGAGCGTGGAAAACATACAGAAATACTGTGTTTTTTTTAAGAAAAATAAATAAAAATTGTAATCCTGTATATTCCTATAGATTAATCAATTGCAAATCAAAATATCTTTCAAGAATACCATAACATAAAAAATGACCACATCACTTAGGATTACTTTATTCGTGCAATTAAGCAACAATTTGCCATTCACCGTCTGCCGTCTGTCACCCCCTCCCCCTTAGGAAAACAGACACTAGCCATGACAGAAAGACGTTTGTCACTCTGGAATCTCCAGTTGGAGAAGCACTGAAAAGGCAAACAAACGAGACACAACAGCAATAGGGAAGGGAAGAAGCAGCAGAAGAGAGAGCAGCAGAGTCCAAACTGCAGTCTGGGCGACAGAGAAAAAGAAAGAAGGCGACAACCGATGACAGCATGGACAAACACAACAACACAAGTACACACCCTCAGAGACCGCGTATGTGTCATTTGTGTGCGTGTGTGTATGCATTCATTGAAAAATAAAATTGTCCCGCAACCAGAATGACGGCATATAAATAAAATACACAACATCAGAAGGTTTCGACTCGTTAATACTCACTAAGGAATGGGATTAGCTGTATCTTGGATACTACAAGTATTCGGAAGAGATCGCTTTGATGCCCACACAGATTAATTGAGAAATTTATGATGGAGGCAAGCTATCTACAATTAAGATATTCTTCCCAAATTTGATGCACGCGGGAAATCATCTCAATTGGATAATTATTAAATACCGTAGGGGAAGAACACCAACAAGAAAGTATCATAGACAATAAAACGTAGGTACCCAGTACCCTTTATTCGATCATTGCTCTCTTCTTATAACAAAGCGCATAGTTAATGGCTGCATGTATCCACCATTAAATAAAAGACATAAAATGTCCACATTGTACGATGTGTAAGGGGTACCCCGAGTGCTGCGCGACACTTGCTTGGCCACACAAAAGTAAAGACAACAAGCGAGAGGAGATAGGAGATAGAAGACAAAGTAAAACCCCAACAGCAAAACAACAATAACAATATAACAACAAGTTGTAAAGCGAAAGCGATAAGAAATCGAAAAAGTGCGTGCCAGTGCATACTTGCGTGTGTCTGCGAGTGTGTTTGCTGCTGCTGCACAAGGTATATTCAGAAGAAGGCGCATGCCTGTGGATGAGTGCGGGATATACGACCTTGCTTGCCACACCTTATATGAAATATAGCTTCCCACTGCAGTTCACTGCCTCTGCCCGCCGACAATTACCTTCCAGGCAGCGCAACAGCAGCGCCTGGCTGCTTTCCTTCTCTTTCTCTGACATACCTGGGGACATTGATTCGTTTTTGTGGATTGCATGGAATTACTTAATAATTTAAACAATTTAAAATTCCAAGCGCGTTTTTTGCACTCTGCTGTTTGTTTGTTTGTCGGAGAATGATTTTTCTGAAAAGCCAAAACCCGATTCGAAGGAGCCAGAGAACTCTGTTTTCATGTCATCGTGTGGACTGTTGCCACGTCCGATAATTATAAAGTGTACCCGGTCCTTCCGTCTGTGTGTGTGTGTGTGTGTGGAAGAGTTTTATTTTTAGAAGAAAATAAATGTTTTCCTTGCATTGCTTTTTATAGCGCTGCATTTGCATTTGCATTTTGTTTTGACTCGACTCCCTGTTTACATTGTTTTGCATTTCATTTGGATTTAAAGTTGCCCCGCGACAAATTAATAATATTTCAAATGACCAGCACGTAAAGTTAATTCCATACTTTTTACAACAAAAGCCTTTGGGGGGGCGGTCATTAATCTGCTGCTGACTTTTTCGGAGGAGGAAGGCACCTCGTAGATAAATGAATATTCTCGGAAGTTGCAGTCAGATTTGTTTACTTTTTATTGCATCAACAAGATTAGTTTGATGTTACACCCATTCGAATTTTTAAGATAAGACCGTTAATCTTTATTCTTGCATCTGATACATGAAACGGGAAAACTTTATGAATCATTTGTAGAGTTGCGTCAAACGCTATCTAATCCACTATCAAATACGAAAGCAAGGCAAATTTTGGGACTCATCCTTCCCATGAAATGTTTATGATCAGATTTTGGTTGAAATTGTCAAGATATGCTAAACGACCACTCAGTTTTCGCTTTTTCACTTGGTAGTAGACTAATATAAACATTCTATTGAGATACTCATTGCACGATTTATCTTAAATTGTATTCCCTTCAACTGCTTAATTTTTCTAGCCAAAAGTCTTTATTTTTTCGTTACGAAATAGATTTTGAAACTTTTTAAATTTGAAAATCATGACCAAGGAGAGTTTACCTATCAGGGAGCATGTACTAAATTTGCTTTGACTTATATCACCCATCATTTGTAGGGTATCATTAAACACAGAAACTGATTCCCCCGTCCAGATGAATTGTTTGCGTTACTTTGTTTTTCTGGGTTTACTTTTGCACCCCGCTCCAAACATTTGCGATTCGATGACATTAAACGGTAAAACAAAACCAAAAACTGATACGAGAGAGCGAGAGAGGTTCTATACTTTTTTTTGCGAGTGTTTGTTGGCGTGAATGGATCTTTGTATCTGCTTGGCATCCCTATTCCTCCTCGCCAATTAAGACGAGCTTAGGGAGAGCGCGACGATGACATCACATAGGAAGAACCACATTTTTTGTTGCTTTGCAAATTAAAATGCTTTTCACATACGCAGACAAGCAGCCAGACAGACAGAAAGACAGATAGACAGCATAAAAAGGAGGAAAATATTCTTATCAAGAGGCAGAGGGCACACAAATGGGCGCGCCGTGTCCATCATCCCATTCCAGGCCTTGGACAGCGGCAGGGACAATTGGGGGCAAGACATAAAGGAAAATGTTGCAATGCCAAAAGTGAACCCAACGGGGAGTAGGAGTAGGAGTGGGAGAGTTTTGTGAGTAGGTCGAGGGGCTACTGCTTGGTGGTTGATGAAGTCATTGCTTCGCTCTTTTACGGGACAGAGAGTACGCCACTGGCAAGGAGGAGAGCAGGAGAGTTTTGTCCCAGACGGGTATGTGGCCAGTGACACACACCCATGATTTGGCTAGGGTCTATGGGGAGGGGAGTGGTTGTCCTGAATGGGAGTCATTCACTTACCGATCCGCAATCGGCTGCCGGCGAATTCTCCACAATGTCGTAGATGACATGTGGCGGTCCAGTTGATCCAAGCAGCGAAAATCCGAAACCGGAATGCTGTTCGCTGCGCCGCAGCACCACTTTCAATTCCTCGGTCATTGCGCCCCGTCCGTCGTCCGTCTCCGCCTTCAGCCACCAAAAAAGATGCCGCTCCCTGTGCGTGTGCTGTGATGTTGCTGCTCCTGCTGCTGTTTCAATGTGCTGGTGCGGGTGCCTGGTATGCTGCTTGGCTTACACTTATGTTTATAACTTTTTTCATATATATTTAATTTGCGTTTGGCTTAATTTTCGTTCGTTTTGGGCTTGGCCAACACACTGCAGCCGCTGCTGCCTCTGCCGCCACTTCAACACTTCATTTACACACAGTACAGCACAGACACAAAACGCACTCACAACACGCACACACACTCATCACTCTCACTCACACTCACGACACAATTACTGCTTTAAAATCGACTCCATATCGGATTTTGTTTATCATTTTTGTTATATTGTTTGATTGCACTTTTGCTTACGGCTGGGCTGGGCGCAGATGTAGCTATCTCCTTTAAACGCAAATTTCCAACGGCCACCGCATCACGAAAACTTGTTTAATTTTTTCTTTTCTTCGTTTTTCTCTTCTTTTTCTGTTAGACTTTTCGCCGCCGCCGCAGTGCTGCGTGTCGCTGCCACGGATCACAGTGGTTCAACCGCACATTCTAGCGCGTTTGCGTGTGGCTGTTATTAGTAACATTTCCGTTTTTCTACATTACCAACATTAATGGTGATTAATTCATTTATTTCCCAATTAAAATCGGACGGCGATCCGCGAAGTTGTTTTTAGCGTGTGACAGTGTGACCGCGGAATTATCAGTGAAATATACCGTCAGTGCCTCGTAAATATACCAAAATATACCAATGCATCTTCATAATATACCGTAGTCTTAAATCAGATTCCTCGATTTTGATGTTCTTTTTGATATTACTATTTTGCAAAGACTTTTTACACTGAAACAATAACTTAACCCGATTGAACAATTAATTTGGCTTATTATAAATTCAAATTACTATTCGATTGTATACTTTATGACCTTAAATTTTACAAATTTGTATATGAATTTTTCATTAAAATCACCCTTTTAAGGGATCTTTCTGTTCAGTATGTAAATGTATGTAAGTTATTAAAAGAGACACGTGTATATAAACTGATAACACTGAATATTATTTAAAAATAGCGCGCGCAACAAAAGAGGAAACCGATGGACACCGATGGATTGCCATCCGCCGTCTTAGGGTCCAGCCTTTCTGACGCCCAAAAACGTGGTAGTTGCCTCAAAAATCCATACCCCTGTCAATATAACTTCGGACTCTGTTGCTGGTGATGCCATCGAAAACAGCATCCAGCATCCAGTTGCAAATGATTTTCCGGTTTATGTTACATTTTTATGTGATGGATCTGCAGTCTCTCCCAGCCCCTCAGCTCCCGCACTGAGACTTTTAGGAGTAGCTCCACTAGCTCGCTTTTCTGAAGTACCACTCACAGCAGTGGTCCCCCGCAAAATAAACAATCTTTGTCTCTCGTCTTAAACCAGAAGCCACACCGGATGATGTCAAACTACATCTAAGCACTTATCTCAAATCGCCGCCTGAAGACTTTATTATTACTAAATTTAATTTTACACATAAGCGTAATATATCATCATTCAAAATTCTTCTTTCCGATTCTCTTGTATCCAAAGCATTGAAACCGTCTGTATGGCCTGATCATTCTATTCATGCATGAATTCAATCTGTTTTTGAACGACCTGCCTCAGTTGCATTAATGTATGCTGATTTACACTAGTTTTTGTTTATTGCACTTAATAACTTAAAAGAACCACCCATATATATAACTATATTTAATCTTGGGCCGGTGAAAGTAACTAACTACAATCACAGCACATCTCCCAATGGTATTTTACAATCGGAATATCTTCATAATTTGTGCACATGAATTAATTATGAATTCGATTTGATACATCTTCCCATCTATCAACCCCGCCAGTGAATATTCCAAATTATGACATCAAATTCCACTTTGGTTCTGTGGACAGGGGCTGGAACTACGGACAGTAGCTCGAAATCAATCTGCCGCATCAGCCTAAAGGCGCGTGCAATTGCGCGACTTTAAGATAAATCTCCGACACAGTTTTACGACCATCGGAGATATTCAAATTTTATACCAACGCCGCCCCCGCCCACAAGCGGCACAAAGCACTTGACTCATGCACACCGCCACATGCGCAGTGCCCTAGGCGAGCACTTCCGTTTCTGACCGGAGTCGGATCGTCTGGATCGTTTCGGGTTTGTTTTGACAAGAGATCCATAGACTAAGCAAACACAGGGCAGGGGATTGTGGGTGTCATAACCGCTCAAAACTATAAAAGAAAAGAGAACGCAGAGCGTAGAGCGCACGCGACTACTAGGGGTGGAGTGGGGGAGGTTCTGTCTTGGTGTTGTGTGTCCAGATGTTGCGGACAATTATCATATCAGCAGCACATCATTTACAGTTAAGTGAAAAAGCAGATTGAGCCGCGATCGAAAGAGAGAGACTTCCTTAATAAGCAGCTCCCTTGGCTCCGAGCGCATCAGTATTACGTAGACTCTAGCCGCGAAAGGAACCAGAACCAGCATGACGAACTCCAACTCCATGGATTGTGAGACCTGCTATTATGTGGATATTAGCAAGTCGTGGCTCAGCCAGACCCAAGGCTATACGGACTACAGCTATGGCTATGGTCAGAGCTATAATCAAGGATACATTGAAATGGATGCCAATTGGTCGTCGTCCAACGATACAGACGAGCTGGAACAGCACAGGTCGTCCCCCGCCAGGCAGGAAGAGCCAGTCCGAAAGTCCAGTCCCAAGCCCAGGGCAGCCACCTCGCAGCGCAAGGAGCGCACGGCATTCACCAAGTCGCAGCTCAAGGAGTTGGAGAGCGAATTCTGCTTCTCAAACTACCTGACGCGCCTGAGACGGTACGAGATCGCTGTGGCCCTAGAACTGACGGAGCGGCAGGTGAAAGTCTGGTTCCAGAATCGTCGCATGAAGTGCAAACGCATCAAGCTGGAGGGAGCAGGAGGAGGAGCTATAGGAGCCACCAAGACGCACTGCTAGTTTGTACAGGGACATATTTTTAACACAACTTCTCTTACAAATGTTCGCTTACTAAGTAATTAGAGTAAAATGTAGTTTACGATTATTTCTTCAACTTCTTGGATTTGACCTTCTGCAGGGGCTTGGCCAGTTTCTTGGCTGCGGCCAGCTGCAGCTTCTGTGTGACGGCATTTTTGGCGGCCTTCGGTGCCGGAGCGGGCTTCTTCTTTTGCACACCGCCAGAGCCAGGTTTGCGCTTCAGTTTGTCCTCCAGTTTGTTTTTCTTCTGCGACTTTTTGGGCGGCGGTGGGAGATCGTCCTCTTCGTCGCTTTCATCAGAATCATCGCTGGCCTCGTCACTCTCTTCATTCTCCAGCTCAAGATCGGAATCATCTTCGGAGGCTTCCACGTAGTCTTCGTCATCAGAGTCCTCATCGATGGTGGTGCCCAGCAAGTCTTCTATGCGAACCTCCTTCTCTTTTTTCTGCTTCTTGCTAGACTTTGCAGCCTCACTGGTGGATGGTGCAGCGGCTTCTGGCGATTCCTTGGACTTCTTGACTGGCTCCACCAGTAGAGTCGAGAAATCAATTCCCAGATGCTTGTACTTCTTTTGCAACTTCTTGACTTTGCCAAGATTGGAAACGGTGCGTTTCTGGCAGGCAGCTTCGCTCCAATTGTTTTGCTTCTTTACGCTGTTTTGTGTTCGCTTGGTGATCTCCGAAACGTAGATTTCTTTGCCAGCCTGAAGAACATTGGATTAATTACAGGATCTATTTTCTATCCCTCTGCTCGCCTTACCTTATTTTTCACCTTCTTCACGGAGGTCTTGAAATAGTCAAATTTCTGATTTTCGGGCGGAATGTACGACGCCTTTACCACTTTCTGGAACATAAGATAGTTGTCCATGGTGTCGGCAGCCACCTTGGCCACCTCCGGATACTCAAACTCGACAAAGGCAAATCCCTTGCTGTTACCAGAGAGTGGCGAACGGGCCAGCCGGACACGCATGACTCGACCGAATTGCTTGAAATACTGTCGCAATTGCTGCTCAAAGAAACCGTGCGGCAAGTGCTTGATGAACACAATGCCGCGCTCCTTGCGCTCCTTCTGGTCCTCTGGCTTGGCCTTCGGCAACTTTTTCTTAATCTGAAATGGAAGTGGAGGCACGTTTACAGTTAGCAGGCGGCAGCCATTGAGAATGTTGTTGCTCTTACCTGTCCGGAGACTACAGTTTTGCGCGGCTCTGGCTTTTTTGTGGGAGAAGCCTGCTTGGCTATTTGCTGAGGCTTCGGCTTCTTTACCGGTGCCATATTTGGATATCTTCAACAATTAAAACCCAAAATTAAATGAAATAAATGAAACTATTTTTCCGCACGTGGAGAGAGGAGTTATCGATAGAATATACCGTACAGTCCCAAAAATATACCTTCTCCTTTTGAAAATATACCGAAAAATGTTTGGAATATACCTATATATCCCAATATACCGTACATCAACCGTATACTCGATTTCGACGTCAAAATACACCGATAAGTATAAAATATAGCGTAACCGGTATTTGTTTTCACTTTGTTTTGCCGCAAAATAAAATGGATCTAAGCGCATGTAAGGATATATCCTTTGATCCAGACCATAAGAGAAAAGAAAGAAAGAGCTACAATCATGAGGAACTCAAGACATTTCTGGCTAACTCATCCATAAAGGATTATTTTCGATGTGCCCCCCAAATAACTGATTCGCATCAGGTAAGGTAAACAAATATCCGGCGAATTGAGTGTTCTGAAAAGGCCTTTCTGTCTCATACAGCTGCTAAGCTACTTGAATGCGACTTTGTCCAGCCATGCATGGGGAGTATTTGATCTGGAGGAGCTGCTTGATCTCTACATTCTGGCCATAATGATGATGACATACGACGAGGAGAATTTTACAGTCGTCAGGGAGCGCTTCATGCTTGTGGATACTGTCTCAAATTTAGGAGATGGTTTGCAGCTATCGCAGGTACGCTGTCCAGCCAATCCACTTCTCGTTCCTGGTATACGATTAAATTGCATTTCAGATTGACGTTATTGCCAATGGATTGTACGAGAAGTTTGTACACGGCGAGGGAGCTAAGCGTTTGCAAAATGTTTTGAACATGCAGATGGCCATTCCCCATCTAGTGCTCTCATCTGGCCATGGCAGTGGCGTTGCCATGGCCCTGCTTCTGACCATCTTTGGCAGGTACACCAAACACCCAGTAAAGCTGCAAAAGACTGGTAATGTGAGTAGCAGCATGATTGGCATTGAATTGTGACTATTATCCCCATTTGCAGGCACAGAATGCATTCGAAATGGTAAAGTTTGTCCGTTGGCAGGAGCTAGCGGACGCTGGTAAATATCAGGAAATGTTTATGATGATGCGTACAATTTGCCTGCTCCTAAATATGCCAAATATTCGTAAAGAGTTTCACGATAATGATATGGGAGCTGAAATGCACAAATACTTTTTAGGCGTGCTCAGGGGATTGGCTAGATCCGACAACCAAACATTCTTTGCCATGATGGTGGAACGATTCATTGCCTTCTGCGTTGTACGCGGGGCAACATAAAAGTAAGAATACTAGTCTGGCATATATATGATATATGCATATTTATGATTTTCTTGCTCTGTTTTAGTTTGCCTGTCTGTAGTGTCTGTTGCACTCCTTTAAAGATGCCAATGAGAGTTTCGAATAAGTATTATTTTTATTTCCCAAGATAGAGTATCGATACTACGGAATAGATGTATAAATACATATATAAACAACAGTTAACATCAATAATTAATTTCTAGCCGGATGTGCATTTGCGAAGGTATTTTCGTAGATTTACGGTATATTTTGTAGAGCCTTGCGGTATATTTACGATAAATCCGCGGTCACACTGAGGGGCACGTGTTGGGGTCGGTTCCACAACATTTAAATACTTTTAAGAGCAGAATTGGCAGTAGCAATTGAAATTTGCACGCACAAAATAAACAGCTCCAGCTCCAGCTAAAGCCCCAGCATGTTCTATCTAATCGGACTCGGCCTTGGGGATATCAAGGATATTACAGTGAAAGGGCTCGAAATTGTGAAGCAATGCAGTCGTGTGTACCTCGAAATGTATACCTCAATTTTAGGCTGTAGCCTTGAGGACATGGTAAGTAGTCTTGGGGGCAGGGCTGGTGGGAGCAGGAATACCGATTACACGATTTTCACTTCATTTTTGGGCCTTTCTGTGTCGCTTTGTGTGTTGCAGCAAGAATTCTACGGTCGACCGCTGCTGCTGGCAGACCGTGACCTTGTGGAGACGGGCGCCGATGAGATTCTGGCGGGAGCTGGCGAGACAGATGTGGCCCTGCTGGTCGTCGGCGACCCCTTCGGCGCCACCACGCACACAGACTTCATTTTGCGCGCCAAGGAGAAGAACATACCCTACAAAGTAATCCACAATGCGTCCATAATGAATGCCATCGGCTGCTGCGGCCTGCAATTGTACAAATTCGGAGAGACTGTGTCCATACCATACTGGGACGAGACCTGGAAGCCAGACAGTTTTTACGACAAAGTCAAACTGAATCGCCTGCACAACATGCACACGCTGTGCCTGCTCGACATCAAGGTGAAGGAGCCCACCCCCGAGTCGCTAATGCGCAAACGCAAGGAGTACATGCCGCCGCGCTTCATGAGTGTGGCGGAGGCCGCCCACCAGCTGCTCAACATCGTGGAGAAGAAGGACGCGCTGGAGCGCAACACAGTGCTCAATGAGCAATCCCTGTGTGTGGGCCTGGCACGTGTTGGCCAAGAGACGCAACAGATTGCCGTGACTACACTGCTCGAAATGCGCTCCACAGACCTGGGCGGCCCGTTGCACTCGCTGATCATTCCCGCCAAGGAAATGCACCCACTGGAGGTGGAATTCCTGCAGCAGTACGCAGCCAACATCAAGCTCGATGATTACAATCATTAAAATTAATTCCCACCGATTTTGCATTGAAATGAAATGAAATGAAATGATGATCTATCTACATATAATACGCATAAGTGTTTAGGAAATGTTGTATATGCATATAGAATGGCCAGATGGGCGACACATTGAATTGAATTTAAGAAGCTCGAAGCTCTGCATCTCTCCATGGATTATAAGAAAGTGATATACAAATGTATGTGGTTTCCCCGCCCACTTGGCTCTGCCCGCTTAATTCCATCTGTATCTGTATTTGTAGTTTGCCAATTGTCAGCATAAAAAATAAAAAATTGCATTAACCCATTACGAGCTACCCAACCCACCAAGCAACCCCTAGGACAAAGGCATACGCAAATATGTATAATGTTGACGCTTTAATTGTACATCCCATCTCACACACACACACGCATCGCATCGCATTTAAAAACCAATCCATCCGTTCAGTAGTATAGTCCGCGCATGCGGCGCGATGATCCCTGACGGTCGTAGAGCATATTGAATTTGTTAACAAAGTGATGCATATCGTTGCATCCCTTGGTCAGTGTTCCCAGATAGCTGATCAGGCCCACGTCGTTGCATTGCGTGTAGAACTCCTCCTGGAAGGCAGGCACCTGCATCACGGGCAGCCGGTGGCACAGGGCATACGCTTCGCGCAGAATCTCCTGGTTTGCTTTCAGCTTGCCTGCCTCCACATCTTTGATGTACTGCAGCACGATTTTGATGCGTGTATTGAGCATTTTAATGGCACTGTCCTGAGCCACCAGGTGCTCGGCGACCACACTCTTCTCGCCGGACTCATTGGAGGTCATGCGTGCCACATGATCGACGCCAATGCGTTCCGCCTCCTCGGTGGCCAGGGTGTAGGTTAGCGGCACAAACAGCATGGTGGCCTCCCCGTCCACCAGATCGATCAGCGACTCGTAGAGCTTTAACGGCAACTGGTCGACGCTGCGCGACAACGGGTGCAGTTGCAGCATGATGGGGCACTCGTTGATGTCGGCTATCTGTTTCTGTATCTTGATGTCATCCGCTGTGGGATTCTCGCCCGTCGTGTACCAGCCAATGAAGTCGAGGTCGCTGAATACCTGCACAGAAAACAATTATTGCTACGACCCATTGCACGAATTAACTTGGGGCACCAACCTGCTTGTACTGCTGCTCCTTTTTGTTGTAGTAGTCTTTGTTGATTATCGTCTCGTCCTCAATCACATCGGTCTTGAGTTCGAACGAGTTCATTATTTCAATGTTGCGTCCCTTTTGTTTTCCAATCAGCGCCCCGTAGACCTGACGAGGCTCACCATGCTGCGCACGAAAGCGCGTCCAGTGCTCCGATATATTCATTATGACCAGCGGATGGAGTGAGATCGTCACCGAGCCGGTTGTGCCCTGGGCGGCCATAACATTTCCCTTGGGCTGTGGCTGCTGTGCATCTGGTTTGTTGCTGCCGGTGGCAGCGGCTGCGGTTGCGGCCGCGGCAGCTGCAGCCGCCGATGACGAGGTGCTTGGCTTTGCCGACATGTCCACGTCGACCTCCATTTGTTCCATGCTTCGATTGTGGTGGCGTGAAGTGTGCGCAACGAAAATGGGTCACCAAAATATGTAGTTTTTTAGTAAAAATTAAACTCCAAAATTATTTTTCAGTGTGACCGCGGATCTATCGATTAAATATACCGTCGGACTTTCAGAAACATACGTTCTCATGTTTGACATATACCGTAAATATACCGAGGATGAAACCAACTTAACCCACTTAACACTGCGCTGATAATATTACTTTTTAGTGGTGTGCGGTCACATTGTGTTGGCAGAGTACCCACCCCTTTTCAATTCTATCGGATATCGGCGGTTTGATTTGACTTCAAAATGAATTGCCACCATTTGAGACGTTTTATCAACTTTTACTGTGAGTCTATGAATAGACTGTTTGAATGCGATTAAGGAGACTTAATTAATTGACATCTTCCGCGTGAATGACCCTGCCAAATGTTGGCTCTGTCCAATGGGGAAGTGAAACAAACAAACCGTCTCGGCTCGTTATTGAAATTGATCTTTTCTTTCGCTTTTATTTGTCTTCGCTTTATTGAGCTCGCTGCTGCTCAGGATTGAGTGGCGCGCAGGTTGTAAGTTAGACTAGTTTGCTTAGGCTAGAGGGCTTAGCGGACTACAAATATTTAACATTTAACATTTAACAGGCTATTTACAAAATCGTCTATACACAATTACAATTAACACTTACTTAGGCACTATCGGGGAGAGGGCAGAGTTTCGATTAAAAAATCAACGCGCTACGTTCGTGAGGTTCTAGAATTAGGTTGACTTACGGCCTAGGCAGATCTCGAAAATTGACCCAGTTTCTTGTACAGTTACACATACGATTACGAATACAGTTGCGACTGCTAGCCAGAGAGGCATTCTCTTCACCGAACGGACAAGCGAAGCAATCAAGCAATCAACTTTTGTTGGTTCTTCTTGTTACCGTCTGGCTGGACTTCCTTCCTTCTATTCGTGTGCGTTTGCCTATCTGTGCATTTATGGCTCTTAAGCTTAAGCTTAGCGTAAGTTAAAACCTTTGTACCAAAAACTACTTCCAACGTTTGTTCTTTGTTGCCAACACCAATTTGTCCAGTTTTACGAGTATGCAAAAAATTTGTTCCCTTTTTCGAGCAATCCCTGGAAGTACTTCCTCTTCACCTCTTCTATTCTAGTGGGCCTTCAGCTTCTGTGTCAGCATCTCCATGTGGTTATTGTTGTTGCTGTCCGCCTTGCAGGCCAACTCCTTGGCTGCTGCCGTGAGCTTCTCCTGCTGCTGCTGCTGTAGCGCCTTGGACTTCTTGTAGCTCTGCATGTAGAAGTTCATGAAGAGGCAGAAGAAAATGGAGGCATTCAGCAGTAGGAGAGCCGAGATGAACTTGGAGAACTGGCACTGGTTGCTGAAGAGGGCGCGTAACGTGTGGAAAATGCACAGCACAAACTGAGCCTGTGGGGGAAAAGAGAATTATAGATTGACAGATCGATCACACAGTAAATATAATCATAGAGGCACTGGGAACATTCTAGCATCAAATGTTGTTATGCCTGAAAGCTGACAAACTTCAACAGAGGACACGCCCCCCTCTGTGGGCAAGCTCGCATTGACACCTGCCCACCTCTTTCTGGTCATTGTCGTGGCATTGAAGGGCTTAGAGCTTGTCTCGTTACGGAAGTTGTAACGTCATCCAATTAGCCCCGTGTGCGGCCATAAGATTTTATTCCTCTGACTTACAGCTCTTTTGAATGCGGCTAATAAAACGTCTAATAAAATGCTTGGGGTACGTAGTGGCCGATGGTTGAATCAACATCAACAAACAGCATCGTTGTGGCACCCTTGAGCTGGCACCCAGCGAAGGCAATCAAAAAGTACTCAGCTATGCACTGCGAGTGCTGAGTGAGTGCCGAGATGTGATTCGGATTTGTTGTAATAACTATGAGTATGTGCTATAGTTATTAAACATCCATGAATGGAGCTCTCGCCTCTGTTTGACCAAGTCCAACAAGTCGCTGACTGATGTCTTTCGTTGGCTGCTTCCATTGACCTTTGGCGACCCCGTTAGCTCCTCATGTCTGTGAGTGTTATACAACCCATATTTAGCTTTCGCTTATTGATCACTGATTGATCGTAAAACTTTTGATGCTTTGGTTTTGCGGCAGTCTAACGAATCGCATGTTGCTCCTCCCACAGTGCCGCCTCTTGCTGCTGCTGCTGAAAGCCCCAAAAACCTGTCCGGTCCGTGTACATGCTTTGGTTGTTGTGTGTGCCACCGAGTGTGCAGTTTTTGATGACCTACAAAATATTACGTTGGTCAGCCAAGCGCTGCAAGTTTCCATTAACACTGCACTGCAAGTTGTGGCAAAGTCACTGAGCCAACGAACCACTGCCGCCTGTGGCACTATCGGTTGGCCAAGCGGACAACTATGCCGTGCCACTCGCTGCCACTGCTGTTGGCCAAGTTTGAGCATTGCTTGTGGCTGGAGCGTTGAAAGCCAGCGCCAATGCTTAAACGCTTCATTGCTGTCAGTTGCACCGGAAGATTGATGGAAATGGGATAATCTTAGGGGGAGTTCTGGGGAGTACTTTAAGGGGCACAGGTCATAGCAGTTGTTAGCTGAACAGTGGATTATTTGCTGACTTTTTAACATCTAAAGTAACCCATTCTCTCAATTGTTTGAACTCACTTGTCCCACTGTGCTGTGCCGGGTCTATTATTGTCAATCGATTGCATAATCCATCTTTAGAGGCATTGTACGCTCTGCCACTGTCTGCGATTGCGTGTGTGGCATGTCTCCGTGCCGGCAAATAGCCACAGCAAAAATGCAGTTGCACTTGCAACATGACTTGACCAGACGCGGGACTCCACTTCCATTTCCATTTCCATTTCCAGCCCCAGTCTCTGTCCCAGTCTCGGATCATTGGCTGGCAATTGAAAGTGGCAGATCGCTTGTTGACTTTTACCCACACACAGGCACAGTCACAGGCACAGATACTTAGAGGCGGTGGAAAATTGCATGAGTAGTCTGCCCAGTGATTGCCATCGACAATAGACACAGAAAACGCAATCGCCGACATAGACACTCACCGGGTTGGTGTGGCAAGTTCGTCGCGGTGCTGGATAAAAGTGAACGCTCCACTCTCGACTCCACACCACACGACTCCGAATCAGCTCGGAGCGTATCGGCTTGGATCGGATCGGTGGCGGGCAACATTCATTGCCGCAAAACGGAACGAAACACGAAATGATAATGTAATCGAAACTGGTCGAATCGGAGTGGAAGTCGCAGTCGAGTTTTGAAGTCTATGTGCACCAAATGTGGAAACTTCGGAATTGGAATTGGAATTAGCCAGGTCTGCGCTGTGCTTGGTTCTGGCCAGGTCTGGTCTGGCATGGCTTGGCTTGGCTGGAGGATGTGGCAATGCCGCGGCTAGCCAAAATGTTACCAACAAACGGAACAGACTTCTTTCTCGGCTCTCGGCCACAATTTAGAGCGTGCGATATATGGTTTTGGCGTTTTTTTGTGCCTAATTGCCAATGCCCGGCAGGAACGAAACGGATCGGCAAGAATCTATGGAGGCTATTGCGCATGAGACACAAAGACAGAGACTCTCTCGCAGCAGTAAGTAGAACAGCAACAACTACTTAGTATAACCGCTTTAACGGTTACAGCAGCAACAACAGCATGACAGATAAATTATCTATAAGATGCGTTTGCCCACTCAACATTTGATTGCGCCTCCGCCTCATTATATACGAATGGAGACGGGTGGTGGGTAGTGGGAATCGCACAGAATCGAGCGACAAGCAATTGGAAAACATCAAGAAAACAGCTCGGAAACGACTGCGAAAACAACAGTACAGATACAGATATAGCAACAATCTAAATGAGCACTCAACTGGCGACATATGAGTAAAGTATCATAGCCGCATAAAATGGGTACAGTGAGAACTGCTTAGGTGGGATTATAGATGCGATATTTGGTTGAAAAGTATCAGCAGAATACAGAAACTGTTCGTTCCAATAAATTGAATATCTGTGCCTTAACATATTTTCCTATTTCTCTGCAATTACATTTCCATCTCGTAAAGAAAGGTTTGAAAATACTTTTAAATAAATCCAAATTCAAGAAAGCTTTTCACATGTCTAAGCTGCAATTATAAACGTTCTGGTTTAATTTGGGGACTCCCTAAGTTGCTGCCTAATCACTACTGGTTTTCCTTAAGTGATTTACAGGCTCCGCATTCCAGGCAGCACATGGTAAAATCGTTTTCAGTTTTATTCCAAACTTCTACCACACCTAATCCGCATTGTATGTGATCATTTTTCTCTCTGATTCTATCATATAGAGTTCCACCTGTTTACCTCCTGCATTTCCATATATAAAACCAGTGCTTAGTATGTACTTAACTTAGTCACTGAACGTTTGACAACTCAACTGCGGAGCAGCGAGGCTTCAAGGCGATTCACTAACAAAAACAACAGCAACTGCAACCATATAGCATATGGCATATACGAGTAGAGCATAGAAGGAGGCCAGCAACAGCAGCAGCAGCAGCAGAACAAACTAAACCTGCCATGTCTCCATGCGTTTCAAGAATTTCGAAACTTGGAAAAAAAAAGAGAGAGAGAGAGCTAAAATGCAATGAAACATACTTATTTACCCACTAAAGTTGTCCCCCATATTATATACTTATATTTATATATCTACGAGTGTGGTGTCTGGTCTCTGAAGTCTTTGAACTATGCGTAGCCAGCGAGAACCAATCATGTGGAGCCATAGACAATCCTATACAATACCAAAACAACAAAAAACTGATGGGAAAACCAGAAATAAGACAAGATTAGAGCAGCCAATCTCTTGTTTTATTTCGGTGTCTTATTCGATTTGGTTTCACTTTTGCATTTGTTATTGCTTTGCAGATAGTCGTTAATCAGAGCTTGTGCAATTCGATAGAATGCATGACCGATCGATGACTAGAAGACAGGCCTTTGGGCCCCGGGTGATCATCGAAGTGGCAGAAACAAATAGAAACCACTTGCAGAGGTCGCAGAATCTGAGTGCGATAAATGCCACTCGTGTTTTTGGTCAAATGCACAATTCACAAAGCTTGAAAGAAGCATTGGCCAATAGATTTTTTGGCAATATGCACACAGATATTTGCTGGTGTGGCAGCTAGGAACGTGATTTCCATTATGTTGGTCTGTGTGTGTGTGTGCTTTTTGGAGCTAAATGAATAATACCATTTTATGTGGCAGTGTCTTAGACTTGGGGCCGAGGCAGAGGCACGGCTGGGATTGCCGGTCTAACTGGTTTGCCTTTTTGGCCAATTGGCAACAGCTCTAGCAGCAGTCACTAACTTTGAGTCTATGTCCTAGAAGCAAATTTCTGGCATGCCGCCGAAACTTCTAAACGAGTTTCGTTTAATTTTCGGGCGATATCTGTGCTGGAACAGATCCATTTGAATAATCCCCCCCTACCCGCCTGATCGGTCTATACTTACGATCTGCAGCTCGGTCATGTATTTCTTCCACCACAGGAACTTGGCGTATTCGGGTCCCATGGCGGACATCATGTAATAGAAGTACATGCAAACATGCACAAAGTTATTCAACAGATTGGGGAATGTGGCATTTCCACCTGCAAATTAAAGGTTGTAGTTTTCCACACATGGAATATATATTCTATAGATAGACCCACCTGCAAGGAACTTGACCAGCACCCAGGTCTCCAGTGGCGTCACCGAGTGATGGTACACATGCAGCCAGGTGATCTGTGAGGATTTCTTGCGCAGCACAAAGAACACGGTGTCGGCGAATTCCGTCAGTTTTGACAGGTAGTAGATGTAGCACAGGTTGAGCATCTGCCAAAGAGATACACAGAGAGAGAGAGAGAGAGATTGGGGTAAGTGGGGTGTTGGGTCTGACCTAGCAAGGTCATTCTGCAATTATCAACGCCCATCGAGCGACGTGACCAATTAACGTAGAAACCACAAAAGCAGAAGAACTTGCGCAATGACATTGACAACAACATCTTAGCATCTTTACATCGATTTGCTTGGTTTTTTTTCGTTTGTCGTTTTCTTTTTCTTTTGCATTTTCATTTTCATTTTCTTTGTGGTTTCTTGTTTTTTCTGTTTCATGCAAGAATTGTTGGTCAAAAAGTGAAACCATGCCATGCGCAATGTAAACAATATTGACATTTATGGGTCTCTCGCGAAGGAAATGGCTACGATAATGTATGACGGATGCTAATTATGCTAATGCCCAGAGCCCTGTGACTGGCCTTTGTCACAGAGTTTATTGACTTGTCAACGTTTTGTTTTATTTTTTTTGGGTTTTCTGGGATTTACAGCGGATGTGAAATCGATCAATGGGTTGATCTTCCGCTGGTTCACACCTGGTTTATGCTCTATTGACTTAAAGCATAAAGAAAAAGCGAAGCACAATCGCAATTGGCAGCAAACAGCGATTGAAATGGTTAAGGGCTTTTGTAAATGCTGCTAATTTGATTGTAACATTCATCAGGCATTAGGCAAGAGCACTCGGAGGGTGTGTGGCACACTCAATTGGCTTGCATTGAATGTCAGAGGAAACACTCTTTGCAGGGGTTCTCCTAATTAGAGAAACAACTTGAATGAATACCGATGAGTTAGCAACAGTTGGAGAATGTTTTCATTACCATAAACTGACAACCTCGCATTCTTTTATACATTTTGAACTGCCTCTAAAAGAGCATTCATTCAACGGTGTACATTCAAGTTTAATTTTTCGCCAATGTTATAGTTTTACAAACATTTTAATGCCTCATTTTGTGGTCCACAGTCAAATTGGCATTAAATGTTGCATTTAACTTTAAACTCTCATTTTCCAACCATTTTTTTAATTGGTTTCTAGTCGCGAGATTGCCCAACCAGCCATTTAAGTAGCTGGGGAATACGGGGGAATACAATCGATTGAGAGGCGTAACAAAAGGCTGGAAGCCAGCAATTATTTTTAGAATTTGGATTAAAAAAGCCACTTCGGCAACTAATTGGACCCCCAAGATCTGCTGCCCATTTGAATGTGAACTTTGTGCCATGATGAAGCCATAATTAAAACACTTTGTCTGTGGCTCTTGTTGTTGTTGTTTACGTGTTGGCCGTTGTGAATGACTGGCCGAAACAACGCAAACAACCAACCAACTGACTGGCTTTGAGCTGAGTCCCAGACGCACTCTTGATTGCTCTTGAGGTGGCTTTTGGCGTCAGTGAATCATCAGACATAGAGGCAACGAACTTGCGGACTAGAGAGCGGAAGAGTGTCCGTGTTCGTTTTCGACTTACCCGCTTCGACATGGGACCATCCGAGTAGTCAACCGGTTGGCACTTCAGATTATAGTAGTTCAGCCAGCCGGCCATTAGGTGCTGAAAATAGAAACGGGGATTGGGGAATAACATTAGGGGGATGTACAATGGGGTGGAATCCAAAGTCCGCACTCACCTCATAGAACATATAACCGCTGAGGGCCACCTGGAAGGCATTGTAGATGACCAGAGTGCGTCGCAGTTGGAAGGGTTTGCGGTCGCGCATGAAGAGGGGGCCCAGGACGAGTACCCAAGAGAGGTAGATGGCCACCAGGCCAAAGGTGAACATCGGATGGTCCATCAGGTGGAAGCGTTCCGCACGCGGATCTGGAAATTCATGCAAAAAAATCATCAAATTAATTGCCGCAATTTATTTTATTTTATTCGATTTGATTTCTTTTTCTTTTTTTTCATCTATGCAAATCCCCCGAGACGGTTGGTCCCAGAGCTGGTGTCGATTTGAATTTCATTAGCTCATAGCACTTCGAGTTTTGTTAGCCACTCAATTCATCCAAGTTGAATGAAATCGTGAATCGATTCAAACAAAAAGTATTTGAAAACTATTTGCCGGCTAATTTCTTTGTCACTGAATGGCGTTATGTGTCGACACAATTGGCTTTCGAGTAAACAATAATTGATAAATACTCGCAATCGCAATCGTAATCGTACTCGAACATGAACCGGAATCCCAGCTTTAAATACAATATTTCCACTTGCCAAAGAGCTCCGTCTGGCAATGTCGTCATAGCGAAGTCAGTGTCGAGGAACCCCCTAACCCTATATGACAACTAATTACAATCTGCTTAGAATTTTTCCATTGGTCAACATTTCCATTCCATTGCCTCTGGCTGTTTATTGACAGCAATTGATTAAAGACATTCTAGGGATTCATTTATGGCCTGGCAATTATTCCTGTTTTTCTAACAATTATTCCATTTCGTTATTGTGACGACTGTGTGGAATCTAGAAATTGTTTTCATATGGACCGGAACCTTTTTGATCTAGTTTAAGTAGTTCTAGAGATTTCAGTGGACTTAAGTGAACTTTGTTTTGTTATTGCCGTTAATATTAAAAACAGTGTAAGATTTTCTTAATAAATGCATATTTAAACGCGTAAATCTCTTATATCTACCGCAATATCATTTTTAAATGATTGTTTTCTGCTAAATTCCAAGTTCCAAAATATCTCAATTTTGAATAGTTTTATTTTACTTTAAATTTATATATTTTTTTGGGTTTCTCCATGTAAGTTTCCAGCCAATTACTGTCCTAACCTTTGAGCTGTTTTTGTTTTTCAAAATTTTCCTTTAAAACTATTCTTCTTCAATCATTTTTTTTTTTACCCTTGACAAATTTTCTAGAAATTTCGCCTTGTCATCGTTTTAAGTTCGTTTCCTAAGTCTTTCGTTTATGGTCCCGCACTTGAAGTTTATTCAGTTTATTTGCATGATTTTGGCATGATTCAATCTCAGCTGGATGGGTTCACTCACACACGGGCAGCGAGATACACTATTTGCACTGTTTTTATTTTAATCGCATCTGCCCGACCTGCCATTGACCTCTCACCGGCGACATCGACCGGTGCGGCATCTGACTTCCACTGCGACAAAGACGTAAGTGTCAATATGGGGCACATGTGCTCAAAGGCGGGAAACGGAACGTTGAGGCAAATGCTCTTAGAGACAGGGGCAATCCCCATGTTGTACGATCAATGCTGCTGATGCATTGTCTGTATTTTTTTTAGCTATTTTTTTTTTCCTACATGCTCAGCTGCACACGGAAAGAGCTTCATAAAAATGGCTAAGATAAGCAATGTAAATACATTTTAATTACGTTAATAATTGTCAAAAATACAATTGACATTGCCAAGGTCTCCATTTAATACACTCAAACACACACACACACACCACACGCAAAAAAAACCTTTTTTAATTGTCCTAGAAGTTTTTTTTGGTTGAGCGTTTGGTTTTTAATCTTTTTTTGAAGCTCTTTCTTTTTGTTTTAGGCATTTTTGTTTTGCCGCTTTGTTCGCTTTTATGTACGTTACTTTGTTATGATTTGTTGGCCACAAAAAATGGCAATTCATCATTTTTTATGCGTTTATAATATGGGTAAATGTTGACTGAACGATTTCGTGCTGTTTAGGACAGCTGAGCTGTCGCTTTAATGTCTCCGTTTGTGGGGGGGCCTTCAAATTTAAATGCAATTTCAATCAATTCCACCTACCGCCATAGTCCTCTTCCACCAATTGATAGTAGCGCTGCACCAGGCCCGTGTAGTTGCGTGAGATATGATGGGTCTTGAACTCATCCAACGCGATATTGGCTATCTCCACGGCCATATCGAAGCGCGAGCTCGCATTGTAGTAGTGGTAGTTCATCGTCATGATTCTCCTCTGTTTGTTGTGTTAAGCAATATTCTGGATGAAATACTTAAGCTGCAAACACACTGTCGTCTTCGTTCTATATAGATTCGAGTCTAGTTTCGTTTCGGCTCTCTGTCAAAGGCTTGCCGCAGGATTTCTCATGCTGCGCTCAGGCCGGAAAAAAACACTTTCGATTTTTGGCTTTGCAGTTCGTGGAGTTTGTTGGCTTTCAGCTTCGATCGAGTAGAAGCTGCAGCTTGTGGCTCACTCTCCAAAGACACTTTTCAACGATGATCGATGATCACAAATTGTTCATAAATATAGTATACTAAATGGCTTAGCTTAGTCGTTCGACGCGCAGACTTGGCTGATTCTACCACCACACCGTAGGAATGTTTATGCTCAACTGAATCTAAAACTTCTCGGCAATCACAAGATAAAGTAACTTTTTCGCGTCGCTGCCGACTGAGCAGCAGCAGCAGCTACAGCAGCAGTTGTAGGCAGCAGCAGCAGCAATAGTAAGAGAAGCAGCAACAACAGGCAGCAGCAGGCAGCAGGCAGCCGATCACAACGCCTGAGCTTGTGCAAAATACTTGGCAACTACACAGCAACACTAATACCCATACCATCCCACACCAAAACCCATACCCTAGCACCTCTACGACTTCGACTTCGAAAACTTGACGAACACTCTGTGGCTTCGCACAGAACAACGGAAGTTTCGTTGAGTTCGCTGCGGTACGCGACGCGACGCGCAGCTCAGCGGCTCACTGCATGCAATTGTCTGTGCCTGTACGTGTGCACCTGTGTGTGTGCGAGTGTGTGTATGTCAATGCGTGCTCTGTGTGCCTATCCGTGTGGCCCAGTGGGTTCGTTTTTTATTATTTATGGTTTTTTTTTCAGCTGTTCGCTTGATTTTTAGCATGTTCCGTATGGCATTCAACTTTGAAGTTGCGGCCACTGTCGTGCTGCCGCTTGGTAATACGAGTGTATTAGTGGGTGAATCTGCTCTTTAATGGGTCAATGCACTGAGAATTGAGTAAAGTCTTTGGGGTTTAGAAATGATTAGTGCTTTGGCATACATTTGTCTAAATATAAACTGAGCTGCGGACTCTGTGCCATTCATTGCTTAAGAATTATGTAACAAAAACAATTATTAGCAATGAAAGTTTGAAGCCAATTTAATCGATCTTATTGTTTGGAAATAAACTAGGGGCAGACACAAAAGTAAAGGAAATTCCCAGTATATATTTTCCCTGCTATAGGAAATGCAGCTTCGTTTTAGTATAAACCATTAGTTAAGATTAAAGTTTACGGAACAATTTCAATCAGTAAAGAGGATTAAAGTGACTTATAAAATTGTTTTCAGCTATAAGAATTAGACAATTAGAAATTGTATAGAACTTTATGTAACTCAAAGTACATGAGTACTTGAAATAATACCTTTAATATCCATTCTATCCACAATATTTTAGATTTAAGGCTCTGCTAATTATACAGTAAGATTTTGAATTCTCTACTCATTGGGTTGTCTCTCTCTGTAGCCCTTTAATATTGTTGAAAATTCCCGAACACTTCATTGCTCTAAGGAGTTAAACAAGTTTTAGTTTTAAGCCATAATGTTACTACAAAGTACTCGTACATACATAAGTAATTAAAACACGTTCGTAAACATCTTTTATGATGCCTTACATTTTGTCAAGTTGTTTTAAATTTTGGGGCTGGTCTAGGTAGTGTTTATTCCTGGACTTCCGCCTTGTCTTTCAATGACCTCAGATGATTTTTGTATTTATGAGCATATGACAAGGTATAGATAGATATGTGTAAGTCCCATTGATGCTTACAGGCACTCAGAGAATTCAGTTAACATAACCTGTTCTCGGACAACTGAGAACAACAATCGAGGTGTTGACTGTGGGTTTGGTAATATGCTAAATGAATTCTCGGAGAGCATCCAGAACGTTTTGCTCGGTAAACGTGTCAAGGTGGCATTCACATAATTTGAAAGCAGAAGCAGATGGCCTCAGATCCATAATCGATCTGTGTTCTGTGGGAACGTGCAGAAAGCTATCGTGATCAAGGCAGAAGGCACTGGGCCAAGTGTCATTAAGTTTGTACATATAAAGTATCGGACGTGCAGTGAAGTCTGCATCGAGGTCCGGGTCTCGAGCGGTAGTCATTTATGCGAGTATCTTAATTATGCCACTGAATGCCACATGAACGAGAACTATTTTCATTTTGTCACAAATTAACGCCATCAACGCTGCAAATTGTTCTTTGAAGTTCAGTCAGAGCCCCCGTCGACCTTTGGCTTGATTATTTTGGCCATGTTGGGGCCGAAAGTGGCAAGGATGATGACGGCCACCGCTGTTTCTGCCTCTGCTAACGGTTGAATGCGATTAGCCAAGCCAACCCAAGCCAAGACTCCAGCAGAGGCGGCCGGCTTCTCTACTCTACTCTACTCTACTCTACTTCTCAGTGCTATACATGTAGCAGAGCTTAGTAACAGACTCATGGCATTTCACGTTCTAGGTCTAGGTTAATCGGAAGTTAAAGACTGCAACGCTGACTCTTCGATGATAAATGTATGCTTTGATAGCTCCAGTTTTGTTGTTATTTTTCTCAGCATTTTGTGAATTTCTGTTTCATCAATATATGTGATTTGATCTTTGCCATTGGCGAAACCGCTTTGACTTCATCATAATCAATAATACCTTTATGAATAATTTTACTATGGGCAAATGCTAAATATTTGTCGCTTATTATTTGCCTGATTAATGGCCCTGGCGTTGACAAGGGTTTACGCATTTCAATTGGCAAATTTAGGCAAAACCATTATTGAGTCATTTGTAAATGTTGACATTTTATATTAATACATTACTTTTACTTTATACAAATTGCTTTCAGATGCTGGCATTTTGCGTGCAATAGCAGTCATGGAGTGAGTCATGGATTTTAGCGAAAGGAGATTTGTACGATGGGGAAACTTTTAAGAGAAGATTGCGGAGAAGTCTCTCACACTTTTTGAGCATCTTGTATATACCTCAATGCTAATGAAATTATTAAAAGAATATTGATCTCCATCCGAATGTTAAACCAAATGTGGAAATAGTCGTTCCCCAACATCTTTAAAAACAGCACATATAAGAGAATAGTTTGCATATGAATAGAGCTGGAAATGTATCGTTCTAGGTCCATTTAACTTTAGGAAATAATTCTTAGATGTATTATGTTGTTGTATGGAAGATTCTAAAATATAGTTTGGATATAAGTTCGTATGGTTGAAGTTGAAGATCCACTATGTCCGAGCTCCATTTCAAGCTGACGCTGCATGATTGTTCGGTTAATATATTTAGCACATGGAATATAATTAAAATTTATCAATTAATTAGCAAAGACTGGCGGAGGTGTAGGTGTCCACACTTCCAACCCTCACGCCCAATGGGCTTCACCAGAGAATGTTACCAGAGCCCGCACACAGATTGACCCTTGCCCAACGGCGTTGTTTAATTGATAACGGAATCTTTTCGAAAGGCTGGCCCCTGGCCGGCCTCCCTACTAGAGTCCAGTCCGGTTCGAATTTGTAAACAGTAATTACATTGTTACAGCGGCTTGTTAACGCTTTCGATTACCTCCTCCTCATTGAAGCAACAACAGTTTCCAGACCAGACATCAGACATTTCGTAATTTCTGCTATTGGATTGCGAAATTTTTCATGTCAGCTTTTGCCGGCATATTTATGCTGCTGCTGCTTATCCAAAGATCGGGCCATACTTAGTCTTAATTGCGTTGCAATTTGGTGCAGAAAGCGCCGAGCACGCCCCGACCCTGAGCGTCAGAGAGACAAGATTTAAACAATTTAAACATATTTATATCACATGTGCAAATGAATTTGGCTTTCTGTATTTCAAGCCCAATATACATTCGGATTGGCATGGCGGCTAAGCACACAACACACTGGGCCCTAATTGAATGGGTAAAGCAAAGAAGTGCCGGACTACAGTTGGGCAATTGTGTGGAAGAATCGGTGGATCTGGCAGAAGTTGGCACGTTCCCCCGATTGTCACGCTCATTGATTTAGAGGCCAAGTGCTGGGGGAACCTAGGCCTGCTAATCAGTTGGCCAAACTTCTCTTACAGCCAAGAAGAGATCGGAAGAGAGAGACAGCTCAAATCCGACACTTGGTTTTGCTCTTCAGACTTAATGTTTTCGAGTTTATGAGGCAAGACGGCAGCCAAATGGGAGTATTCTTGGCATCACATGAGTCTCTGAACTTGAAAATACTTTGATACTTTTTCGCTGAATATTAATTAGTAGCGAGCGGCTAGCACCAAGAATAGATCTCGCCTCAGTCTATTAGCAATTAAGTTTCAACTTTGAACTTGACACAGTTGCCGGAGCGTGAAAAAAAAACAAGAAGAAACTAGATAAATTCAAATATATAAATTGTTTCAGAAATTTATTAAAAATTGGCAAGGAAAAAAATCAAAATATATCAAGACTAGAATTGTTAATTATGCATCTAAAGTTGCTTCGACTAAATGAAAACCGCTCTGCGCCATCGAATCTATTAAGCTTCTTAGGCATATTCTTCTTCTTTTTCTATCTGCAAGAGCCTCTGTGGCTACGTCTAGCCGATCGGTCGAGCAGTCGATCAGGAAACGGAAGTAACGATTTCTTTTTCACTACATATTAATCTTTTTGTTTTTTCTCTCGTTTTTAGCGCCTGAAACGAGTTCCCCTCAAGGGCGAGCCAACGGTAGTTGTGAGCCAGCAGCTACGACTTGAAAAAATTCGATTGATCGAAATAGAGGGAGAGCATGAGCAGAGCAAAACCGTGCCAGGCTGGGTCTATCTCTTTGATAGTTCGAAATCGTATCGGCATTTCCGTACTGTGCTGGCAAACGAGTTCGATTTGCGCAATTAACGAGAAGACTTGACTTGATAACAAGATACTTTGGATGAGTAGAACCCGTGGAGGCAACGACCCTGTTACGGCACTGGAGTTAGTTAGTGCTCGGGTCAGTGTTACATTATCATGTAATCGGTTAATAAACATTTACGTAGCTACATTTAATAATAGGTCTCTTTAATTTCACAATTGTGGGGTTGTTGTTGATTGTTCTATATGAAAATGGTACGTGCGAGTACTTTTCCCAAGGAAACAATGTGCCTAAGTTGCTAAGTATCCTTGCCCGCAATTTTAATAATATATTTTATAGTATGTGCGTTTGTGTAGTTCTCAGAATAGTTCTCTCTAATTGGAGCCAACACATGTGATCCGCAAAAGGGCAATGCAAATGCTGCATCAAAATTGGTCGAACTCTAAAACTTGCTTGGAAGCACTTAAAACTCTTTTTTTTACTAACTTTAAGATCCATTTAATGGTTGGAGCAAATAAATGTAAAAGTTTTGAATTGTAAATGAGTTGCAGGCCAGTCCAAAGTTTTGTAATTTTCATGCGACATCGACATGTTGTCCCTGTACTTTAATATAAACTTATAATTAAGCCACGCAAACACACACACACACACAACTTTGATAAGCTTTCAATCATTTGAGTAGGATTCTTTCATGAATCAAGTTAGTAAACATCTATATAATTTATTCAGAATTCGAAAAGCAACCGTTAAGCACTCGAGTCAAACTTTTTTCCAGCGATCTGGCAACTTTAAGCGAAGCTTTAAGCTAAGCTTGAATACACCAACGACAGATGACGCCAGCAGTGAGCGGACTGCGCGGCACCACATGATTCACCGTTCAACTAGTCCATTTTGCGATTGGGGTGGTTCGTGCCTGCCCGAGCAAGCCTCACCAGCATCAAAGTGGCGACTTAATACTGCAAATGCACTACGAATATCCCCATATCTTCTTTTTCTGTTCAAGACGTAAATATAACTAAAAAGCAGTCAGCCTTCGCATTGGGTTTTAAGCTCTTTCCCGGCTTTCAACTAAAAGAATGAAGCATTTCCGACCCTATATAATATACACATATGTATACACTTGATGTATTCATATATTCAGCACACGCAGTAGAGTCAATATAATGTAATTAGTATTTTAATTTTACCCAGAAGTTTGGGTATTTCTAATGGAGATGTGCAGGAGCTACATACCCCGTGAGTGTCAAACGCTCCAGTTTACCTTAATTATCACATATTTCACTTAATTGGACACGCTTTACTATTCTTTGGTATCGTTTATCGTTCCGTGCCTATCCGAGCGAGCACGCTGCCATCTCTACGAAACAGCCACGCAGAGTCGCTGATATACCACGAAAAGGTTTAACGCTACAATTATAGTTTTAAGAGCCTAATTTGCAATGGTTGTTTACAATACTAAGATCAATACGTTGGGCAGAGCAATAAAGCGAGCTTTAATGCACTCACGTTGCAAATCTTTTGGCACAGGGCTCACAGAGCACACAATGGGCATCGGGCATCGGAAATCGATTTTGGCGGCCCATCCGTCGGCCTTGGCGACGCACAACCATCCACACACACGCACAGAAATGCCAAAAGCAATACATATTTATAATTAATTTATTAGAAAAAATTGTCCCATCTGCCATTAAGAATTCTACAGAACGTCGAGCGTCGGACAAACGAAATGAGCCAAAAGAGAATTTTTTGCACAATTAATTATTGTTCGTGCGACTGCTTTTGTCTACGCAATTTTGCTGTTGCAGGGGTAGGGTGGGACAGGGAGGGTTTACAAACAAAATTCAATAATAATTGTTTAACGGTTGTTAGCCTGTTTGGTTTGTTTGTGACTATGTAAATGTTTGCGGAAGGAATTTGCATAACATGCAGAGGCTCGCGGCTGAGACTGAAGCTCCCCCTCTCTGATCACGGATCGATTCGGCAGTGTTTGCAGCAGCAGCAGCAATAAACCAACCAATCTTTTGTATATCATAATGATCTGCTATGGGTCTGGTTGATGGCGAAACAAAACAAAAGAAAAATGCAAATGTCCAGCCCGGAAGAAAACGGCAGCAACGGCATATGCGGCGCATGATTGATTCTGTACGAAAAGGAAACCTTAGGAAACCTCTTAGGGATTCACCCACCAACCGACATTCACCCACATCTTATGCAGTTTAATCGTGTTCGCCGATTGCCACTGTAGGCGCTGGTTATAGATTCGCATAAGCTTATCGACGGTGAAATAGACATTGCCATCGCAAGTTCAAGTTCAATTCGCCGGTGACACAGTTGCGCAAAGCCAAAAGTTGAACTGCGAATGACCCCAGCCTTAGCCTCCGTCTCGGTATTTGTGTGGTCTCATTAACCATCCAATACCGAATGATAGTCTTGACCCGGAAGTGGCATTAATCGACGCGCTCTGATCATTGTGGATCGCTAGAATCGATTTAGAGCCCTGGGCCCCAAAAAAGAATTTGCATGTAAATTATTGGCCAGGCCGCGTGTCTCCTTGAATTAACTCGCTTTCAACGGAACTTTACATCTGAAACATTCCAAATAGTGCCAACAAATCCGTAAATTATTCGTTGCTATTAACGCTTTATGCTCGTTTAAATCAGTTCGAGCATTTTACAACTTATACAAGTTGTACATTGCTTGAGAATTTTGTGGACTGAGCAGTTTTCCGTAATGGCCCAAAAAGGTTAACTGAATTCTTAACCAGCTACGCATGAGAACGAAAGAGAAACAAATTGTTCTAGAGTTCAACATGATGCGGAAAGAAATCTAAAGAATATTCAATTTGGGTCAAGGCTGATCAATCAAAAGTGGAATACATCTCTAGCCAAAGTAATGAAAATGGAAGAATTGGTAGAGGAAAACAGTTAAATAAAAATATCATTCCATTATCAAACAGAAATTATGTTTAAGAGATTCTTGGAGGCTCTTTTTTAGTGATAATTATATTATGTATGTATATTTCAAATGTAAGAAACTATTTCCTAATCCTTAAAGCTCCTCAACAATTGCTGAAACGATTTATTAATTATTATTGAAAATGTATAGGAATTTATAGGGTTGTGCAAAAAGGCTTTACCTCCAAATACAATTGAAAAGCAATTAATATTCTGGCAAAATCCAGGCGGCAAAAACTGAATACCGGCAACACGGTCGCATATTCATTTAGAATCATAAACAAATACAGACACAATTATACCCCAAAAACCCTATAAGCTTTTGTCATCAATTTTCTGAATAGAAAAACGAGACCTGGCAATCGTTCGATGCGACTCGATCGCAGCCTCCAATCAAACGTGGCGGACACAAATGAACATTTCGGGCCTCATATGAAGATGAGTAGACGCCAGAGCCAGCACCAACAAAAGTTCCCCCCAGCAAACGGAAAACACAAAAACAAAAACTGAAACCAAAATCGAAACAGAAACAAAACCAATAGAGTTCAAAAAACAGCGCCAAAAAAAAAAAAAACAACGAAACCGAATCGAACCTTTAGACAAAATTTTTATACATAGCGCCGTGCAGCTCGACGTAGCAGTTCAGTGCGCGTACAAGTCTCGTGGGTAGCGGATGCCAGCAAAGGTCTCTCTCCTCTCCTCATATCTACGATAGCACCACTACCATATAGCGCCACCCTACTCTATATAGGGGCAAGCAGCAGAGCCAGCAAAGAAACAAAAAAAAAAAACAGTTGTCATGGTGTTAACATTAAGAGTTGTCGTAAATTAAGTGCACGGCAATCGAAGTGATTGCAACAGGTGCCCCAAAGCTCTTCAAAGTGTGTGTGTGTGTGTATGTGTGTGAATAATCAGAACAATCAAACATATCTACATAAATATAGAAGTAGAATTAGAATCAGTGGGAGACAAGAATCTTGATTTCTGATGCAGACATTCCAAGCAGCTTTGAAACCAAAAACTTCTCCCTTAAGAAAGGGTATTTCCCTGCGAAGGTCAAGTCAGCTCTTGTCAACTGTTGCATCATATTCAAAATTGGCATTATTTGGTCTGAAATTGGGCAATAGTTGACACAATATTGTGTGCGTTGGCTTTAGGAGTGGTCAAGGCCCATAACCAAAACAAAATGAAATCCAAAGATCTTCAAGAGAGAGCCGTCGCCTATTTAACAAGTGACTAACCAAGTGGAAATGCCCCATAAAATTTGTTGACAATAATCAGCCAGACACGACGGAGCGTCAGGCTGCCAGATTTCCCAGCAATGGCACCAGAAATAACCATAGACCAGACCATACCAGACCAGGCACAAATTGTGGCAAGGTCGCATAGCGATTTTTACCAATTGATAAACTGGATTTGCTTGAAAATATTCGTGGGACCACAAATGTGTTTAGCACCTTTTGCTATCGTGCAGTCATTTATCGCCCCATTTTCAGCCCCATTCTGTCTTGATGGCTGCAGCTAATATTCATGAGAGCAAGTGCAGGAAATGGCTGGCCGAAAACCTTAATAGCCAAACCCGTCTGTTGACCAACTTGCCCTTCAAAATATTTATGCTTCATTTATTATCTCAATTTGTTCCTCACTTTGCACACTTCAGATCTCTTGAGATCTCTCTCGAGATGAAAAGACCCAGAAGCTGATCAGAATAGCCTCGAAAACGAGCAAAGAAATCAAAATGCTTGTTGCGATTGTTGGTAGCTCAAGAAGTTGTTTTCGGTATTTCTATGGTCTTCAGTCTTCGGTCTCTTAATCGGTCTCTGCCAAGTTCAAGTGTGCAACTGGAAGTCAATGAACGTCATTTCATCATTTCGGGTAACTAGATGGAGTTGAATGATTGTCAAAGAGATAGAAGAGGATTCAGGATAAAGGAAATATAATTTAGATTTTAATTTAATATCAGATAACAGATGACTTGATTGCCACTTTAAGCTACTTTTGTTATACTCTTACACTACAGCAAATTCTAATTTCATAGCCAGAGCATTTCGTCTTCGATGCAATTTAATAGATGAACTTCAACCTGATTTTGTTGTAGATTTCAGCTCTAAGAGGAGCCAAAACAAAAAGCTCAACATGAAATTAATTTGTTTCGAGTCTTGGGGTGAATGTGTGTGTGGGCATTACTATTACTCGCATCTCATTTGTTGTATTCGTTCCACACGTGAGACGCCGCGGCGTCTCCGTAGTCCGTCCCAATTTGGCTGGCAGGCCGTGTGGCAACCATCGCCATGTGTTGACCACCAATTTGTATGTGTGTTTTGTTTGTTGTTTAATTCATAATAATGAATATAATTTACTGTTACTGTTACATGATAATTTCATGACATTTCACCTCCGCAAGCGAACGGCGACAGCTTTCCGTATCTTCCACACCGGTCCAGATGAAATGAATTGAAGACAAAAGTCTTGGTCACTCTGGTCACCAATTGTTATTCTGTTTTGGCTCTGATTATTATTATTTTTATGCAGCGTTCGGATCTCCCGGCAACAGTCCCCGCCATGACAATCAGTTACTAGTGGCTCGGCATTAACATAATTTTAAATTCAAACTTGAAACCCTCATTCGCACATCCAGACTTCACATATTTCCCCCTTCTTCCCTGTTTTTAGATTTGGCAAAACTCGTTCGCTTTGAGCATTTTAGGAACGTTTTGAGGAGCGACACGAGCTTAGCAGATTCTTAAATTTCACACCGTAGATAAAACTGCGAAATATACACGTTTCTTGTGGTTGAGGGACACAAAAGAGACACTTCAAAATGGCAGCCGTCAACGCATCGCGAACGGATTATTGGAACTTTCTGTTTATCGAGTTGGCAGGTGAGTGAAGCTCCTCTCCCATCAAGGAATGTCATACTTAACCCTATGGCTACTATGTCTTCCTGTAGATCCCCGCACCAATGACTGGTTCCTGATCAAGTCACCCCTGCCGCTGCTTGCCATCCTCGGCCTGTACTTGTTCTTCGTGCTGGGATGGGGCCCGAAGTTCATGCGCGATCGGAAGCCCTTTAAGCTGGAGCGCACCCTTCTGGTCTACAACTTCTTCCAGGTGGCGCTCAGCGTATGGATGGTGTACGAGGGTGTTGTCATCTGGCGGACATACAGCTGGCGGTGCCAACCCGTCGACTGGTCACGTACGCCCAAGGCTTACAGGGAAGCGCGCGTGGTCTATGTATACTATATGGCCAAGATCACCGAGCTGCTGGACACGATCTTCTTTGTGCTGCGCAAGAACGATCGCCAGGTGACCTTCCTGCATGTATACCACCACACTGTGATGCCTATGATCAGCTGGGGCACCAGCAAGTACTATCCCGGCGGACATGGAACCTTCATTGGAATGATCAACTCGTTCGTGCACATCATTATGTATTCGTACTACTTCCTGTCTGCCTTCGGTCCCCAGATGCAGAAGTATCTGTGGTGGAAGAAGTACATCACCAACCTACAAATGGTGAGGCATCATTGGAGCATCTCACATGGTTTCCTGTTGCTATAACTTTATGACATTTCAGATCCAGTTCTGTTGCGCCTTCATCCATCAGACACAGCTGCTGTACACGGACTGCGGCTATCCCCGGTGGTCTGTCTGCTTCACCCTGCCCAATGCCGTCTTCTTCTACTTCCTGTTCAACGATTTCTACCAGAAGTCCTACAAGAAGAAGCAGGCAGCTGCCAAGGCCAAGGCTCTGTCGGCGGAGAACAATAACGAGAGCTGTGCCAAGGATCTGAATAAGGTGGCATCGAAGGATCTGGAGCTGGAGCTGAAGCAAAAGCAGAAGGCCTTGTAGGTTCGAGGCCATTGACGCCCAGAGCCTAGAGCCAGAGCCAGAGCCCGCACCCTTCCCCCTTTCAATACTCATACAAAGCGGGGCACACACTGAGAGCTGAGATCCCATGTTCTATGTGCAACTTTGTTGACTAATTTCTTAAGTAATCCGCAGCCAAAAACACGTAAAACAAGAAAACGAGACACCATACACTCGTCTGCTCTGTCTGTCTATTGGAACAAATGAGGCTTTCAAGATACAGATAGATAGATACACATAATATGTAAATGTTCAAACAGTTAAAATTGCTTTTTGCAGCCGTCGCCATCATCGCTCGCCTCGTTTGATGTCCGCTCAGGCGGACACCAAATGAAAGAAGTGCTTGTATGTCTTTCGGTCGAAACTGAACTAAACTACAAGTAAGTTAGGTAAACCACACAGAAAATGATGAGGTAGTAGAAGAAGAAGTGTTAGTTGTGTAAATACATTTAGGTACGCATATAAATATGTTTTCTTAGGGTTTTTATATACGCATCGGTATGTAAAGTAGTTGTAAACGAAGAGAAAAAGATATTTACGTATAGCTAAAACAAACAAAATCTAACAAATAAACTAGAATTTTTTCTACAAAATTTTATAAAAATTATAAGAATGGTTCTTTGTTTTGTGGTGGGGCCTTCACTGGGGACTGAATCGTACATATACTTTTGAAGATGTGTTCAGGAAATGTTTGCACAATTGATCTGCCTAAAAGTGCTTTCGAATATAACAAGATGTATCATTGGATAACACTGGAATGGAGTTTCGAAATCTATTGTTTGATTAGACTGTGAGAAGGTGTCTCCTCTTCCTTTTCACATCATCTCACTTCCTATGGATAAACTTTTGACGCAATCATAAAAGCATTTGCTTAAGGAACTATTTGCTCTGGTACCACCAAAAGGCAAATAGTATTTGCTTAGCTCACCTTAGCCACACCTTTTCCCAGGCAAAATGTTCTCATTGATAATTATGGCCAACACCTGACAGATGCTTAAGGAAATCCATTCTCAAGGAACGCATTTAAGTCGAAGTACAATAGCCAGATCAATCTATTCATTCATTCATCTGCGGAAACCAAGAGATACGTAATCGCAGCGAAATTTGAATTTGCATGGGCGTGGCCCAACGAACAGGTCTTTGATGGTGGGGTGATTCTGCTGTTGCTGCCGATAAAGCATATCCAGCTCATGAATTTTTACGAGGCTCTGAGAACACGGTAGAGTGATGCCAGAAGATTGGTCCACTTGCCACCGATGATCGTCTTGCCTCGGTCCGTATTCGCTCATTAGAAGCTCATTTAAAAGGCACCTTGAGCATACACGCAGAAAAGCTAAGCTATTGAGATGAAGATCTGATAAATTCCACAACCTTTTATTGATCAATCAGTCAAAACGGAACCCAAAGCGGAAGTGGAAACGCATCTTCAAGTGGATTCGGTGCCAGTCGCTCTGCGGATACAGTATTCAATAAAGCCGGTTTGGTGTTGGGCAATTGACCTTGATCTTGACCACAAACACAGGCACAGGCACACAAAAGCCAAACACCGAAATACCCAAAGCTAAAACCTCTTTCTTGTACCAGCCTGAGGACTGGCCGAATCGAAGCCAGTTTTGTATGTGTTTTATGCCACGATCATCATAGATCTGATCAGGCTGATTGAACATGCAGAAGAAATCAGAACTAGTTGTATAGAAAACTAACTCCAGAGTTTTGTTTTTGCTTTCATTTTATCATCTATCATCAAGGTGCTTGAAAATCTTCGAGGAAGTAAGACATTAGGACACCTGATATTTATTATTGAGCTCGTATTTTAAACTCTTCCGAGTATATTTTTTTGCAGTTTTCTTTTTGGATACATTGTCTATATCTACAACATTTTTACACTACATGTCACCGTGGCGACATGTGTCCGTTGAGCGCTCCATGTCGGTGCAACTTTAATATCTTCTATGGTTTGGAAAAAATATTTCTAAATTTTAATATAAAAGTTGCAAATCATGACAATATATTTTGTTAAATAAGGAGGGGCAGAAATGGAAATTCTACATGCACTTTACATGAATTCTACAATACAAAAAACAGTGCACACTTTTTAGCTGAAACAATTCAACATTTTCACGGTGACAATTTTCCAGTAGATGACGGGCAAAAATGTTCCTAAAATATCACTCAAAATTATCCACTTTGTTATGTCGAGAAACTGTAGAGAAATGAACAGCACCCTTTCGAGGTTCTCGTTTGATGCTTTTGTTTATTGACCGTTTTTGGCTATGACCTATGCAAATTTCCCAAAAATGTACGCTTATTTACAGCAAAACGCAGTAAACATCGAAATTATTTAAATGGCCCTTGAACTTTGACTTGGAACGAAACGTTAAGTTTTTGCCCCCCTAATCAGCATAAATACGAGTCAATTCTGTAAACGATGATCGAGAGGCGTGTGTGTGTGAGAATTAATTCGAAAGAGTTTAAAAAAATTAATTAGAATTTTTAATTTAGCCATGACCACACTCTCCGCGCCGCCAAAGTGTCTGGAGCCGGACCCGAAAACTGGTTGAAAGCTATTGCATAACCAGCCCAGCAGCACGCGTGCCAGGTTACAAGTTCATGGCTGGGAGGACACTACATGGCCAGAACAGAGCATACAATCGGGGACTGGGATATTCAGAAACACACAGATTCGGCGGGGATTGGGCAATTCAGAGATTAATCGTGAGGCATTAATCAATCGTAATGTGCCGCAGAAGAATATCTGGCAGATGGCCGATCTGCATAATTTTATTGGGTTGGGGAGAGAACGAGCGCGTGGCCCATGGCTCGGAACAAGAGTAATATAATGATTTGGCTTTGGATTCGGGTGCTGGCTTTGTCATAAATAATGGGATACAACAGGTTTGGTTGTTGGGGGTTGTTGTTATCTAATGCGAAACACGACTCGAACCGGTAAAGAACAGACACAAAGGCTTGGTTTTATTAAAGATAAAGAATCAAAGTTTTATTCAATTTTTCTTGTTTTCGAGATGACAATTCGAGAAACGATTTACGGCTGCATTTCATTAATAAAAACTCTATCACACTCGCACACTCAAACGCAAACTCTGGAAAACATTAACACATACTCAGTCAGACTATCCACAATCAGGCACACTCTTATGATCCTAGCTATTTTTTGGGTTGTAATCTTCGGCTGCTCGGCATAAACATTATACATACATCATAGATGGTACGTTGTGCCTGCTACAGATGCATAGATATTTAGAGATTAAGATACACTACAAACTAGACTAAAGCCCCGCTCTACAAAACAATAATTGCTAAACTGAAACCCAACCGAACCAAGGCTCGCGCTCATTCCAGCTTCAGCGGCTTCACGCTGTTGTTGTTCAGATCGATGTACGCCTTGGCCGGCTGTGCCAGGCTCTCGCTCTTGCTCTGGATCTGGCTCTGGTTGGGCATGCAGCCCATGCCGCCGGCGGCGCGGAGTGCTGACTGGGCCAGACTGCTGCCGGTGTGAGAGCTGCCATTGATGCCCTTGTTCTTGTTGTAGGTCTTGCGGTAGAAGTTGCCGAACAGATACAGGAAGATGACGGTGTTGCCAACGAAGAAGAAGGTGAGTGTCTTGGGCATGTTGCAACCCTTGGCGCCCACGGCCAACATGTAGCCGAGAATGAGGACGAACTGGATCAGCTGGATGCTTGTCATGTACTTCTTCCACCAGAGGTACTTCTGGTACTGGGGTCCCATGGCTGCCACCATGTAGTAGAAGTACATCATGATGTGCACGCCCGAGTTGAGGATGCCAATGATCACGCCCTGTTCCCCAGGCGCGTACTTCAGATAGCCCCAGGAGAAGAGAACGGTGATGGTGTGGTGGTAGACATGCAGGAACGAGACCTGATTATTCTTCTTGCGCAGCACAAAGAACGTCGTGTCCAGCAGGTCGATGATCTTCGAGAAGAAGTAGAACCAGGCGCCCGAGTATAAAGTTAGATTCTGCTCACGTGTGCGATTGATTTCGCACTTCTTCGAGAAGATCGAGGATATCACATTGCTCTCCTGAATGGACTGTAAATGAAGGAACAAAATGAATTGATTAGATTAGAATAATCTATAATTATGTGAATATTCAATGAGAACTACTATATATTGCTGCCCTCATTTAGTATGTTGCACAAGCACGTTGATAGGGTGCTTATGATAACTGAATAATACATCAATGGGGAGCAGGAGCATTGGCAGCCACTTTATGATCTGAATAATTATGACGGATTTTATGGACTCACCGTGCGACACATCCAAATGGAGTAGCAGACCTGGAAGGCATTGTAGAACACCATAATACGCTTCAGATCCATGGGCTTGCGGTTCTTCATGAACTCGGGTCCAATCTTCAGAACAAATGCCAGGTAGAGCAACACAACACCAAACACAGGCGCTGGCGAACTCATCAGGAACCAGCTGTCCACAGTCTCATCTAAGTAGAAATGTTTAAAAAGTTAGTTTTACAATTCCATAAGAGTTTTCCTCTATTTATATTTTACTCACCCACGCCCTTGGACAGACCGGAGATGCGCTCCTCGAATATCTTCATGTATGTTGTCATTGCGGCTGGTTTGGCTTTTGGCTTTGTTCCGATTCGGATTCTGCAATTGGCAACTGCAGGAAGGTAGGAAAAGGGGGGAGAGTCTTTAGAAATTTTCGCCCAAAATCGAAAATTCAGAGCTCGACGTCCGCACGCCGCGTTGCCAAAATATTGAATGAAAAGATATTCTAAAAGCCCGAGTGCTTAGAGAGGCTTAGCACGTTCGAGAGTCGCTGCTCGAGAGTCGCGGGCTATTGATTATGCTAGCGAGACGAGCGTGATCAGCATAAGAATGCCAGAAGCCAACTACGCAAGCGCGTTATTAATGAAATGTAAGAGAAGTCTTATTTAGTTATCCCATATGCAAAACGGGACAAGAAACGAGGCAGCAGGGAGAGCCAGAGACAGAGCTTGAGACAAGGCAAAACCCAAATCGAATGATGAATGACGACAGCAAAACGACTCGAGATAAAAAAGCTGCAGTCCGAGGTTGATACTGTTGCACCTACAAACCGATTGGCACATGATTGCAACTGGAAAAATTGGCATCTCAAAATCTATAATGGCAAGAAATTCGCACTATACGAGTAGAGAAGATGCTGATTGTTGGTTGCTGGCTGCCGGCTGG